AGGAAGGGATGGCATGTAGTAATAAGTCATGAGGACTCTTGTTACCAACAAGATTTATCATGTCTTATCCAATCTCAGAGTTCTTCCCATTGTAGAAGGTTCAGTCTATATGTCACCTGTCCTGTAGTCTTTCTTGGTTTCTTTCTTCATGTCTATAGCAAAGATCCTCAGGAGGTCTTCCCCAATCAAATCTGATCTCTATTAATTTTGAAGAGCGCCATAACTTTGTTTTAACCTTTCCCAATGCAGCACATTTTTTGACTTCCATTCTGAAGTTAAGACATTCTTAAAATATATATGTTGGTTTAATTTAGCAGGGTTTTTTTTTTTGAGATTTATTTATTTATTATGTGCACAGTGTTCCACCCGCATGTATGCCCACAGACCAAAAGAGGGCACCAGATCTCATGGATGGTTGTGAGCCACCATGTGGTTGCTGGGAATTGAACTCAGGACCTCTGGAAGAGCAGCAGTGCTCTTACCTGCTGAGCCGCCTCTCCAGCCCCTGGTTTAGCAGTTCTCATAACCATTGTCTCTCAGCAGCTATTGGTTTTTGTTGTTCATTAGCATTAAAATTTAAAGTCAATAAATTACCATATAGGATCTAGACAACCTGTGTATTTCCCATCTTTACATGGGCTTTTTCCTTTTATATTACTTTATTCTCACTTGAAAGACATTACTATTTTTAGTTTTTTTCTATGACTATATGTACCCATTTTCTTTTTCTTCAGCATCTAAGTACATTTTTAAATATACTGTACCTTTTTAGAGATTTTCCGTGTTGAAATCTGGCTTTACTAAGCACCTGTCGTGTTCTCTCATGAGACAAATCTTAACCTGACATGTCGACCGCCTTTTGGCTCAGCTTAGTGCATGGTTCTGGCACTGGTGGCTGGTAACCATGCCTGTGCATGCTGTGGAGCACCAGCCTGCCTGAGAGACTGCAGGACTAGGAAGCCACGCCGTGCTTCCTGTCCAGAACTTTACTTAGCTTTCTCAGGCCCTATGTGTGCCCCATGGAGCCTCCATGTTGGCACCATTCTCTGTCCCATGAGCCACCTCCCAAGTAATGACTGGGAGACTTACTATGACAGCTCAGCCTATAGCTTAGGCTTGTTCTAACTAGCGATTTTAACTTAAGTTAGCCTGTTCATTTAATCTGTGTTCTATGGCCTGACGTCATCTCTCTTCCATTTTGTACTTCCTGTGCCTTAGGTGCCTCCTGATATCTCCTTCTGCTCCTCATTTCCTCTTTCTCCTCCCCCCCCTCCCCCCCAGAAGTCCTGCCTAGCTATTGGTCATTTAAGTTTTTGTTAAACCAATCACAGTGACACATCTTTACACAGTGTAATCAAATGTCTCATGCCAGCAGTGCGAAGGAGTAAGCACACTGTTCAGACAGGAGTGTCAGAGACTACCATAGCCCCACCTGACTTAAAACTTGAGTCCTAAGAACATTCTAGCATTTTCAGTTGCTATCCCACCTATTCTCACATGCCAGTGCTGCTTTCTTTGCCTGTCTCATAGCTGTTCCTTCCTTTATATGCCTAGTCTTAAGTCAGATCCTCTCTCCAAGACTTGCCTGCCAAACATCTTTTTCTAGCATTTCCTTCTCCAAGACTCTTCACTATTAGAAATCTCTGCATGTTTACATCGTATATTGAGTTTTTAATTTTACTTACCAGTTTTCTATTTTTCCTATCCCTTTCCCTCTCTGGAGATAAGGATCCCTATATTACCTCAGTCTAGGCTCAAACTGAGATCTTCCAGCTTCAACGTAAGAGCTGTGAAATACTGGGTCTCTGAACAGTTTTCTGCTCTATTCTTTAGCCTTTCGTTCTTGTGAGATTGATCTGCCTGCATCACTGTTGGCAGCCTTGATACAGTACTCGATGTGTGCCAGACCTGTTGAAGGTTAACATAGTATCTTAATACAGTTAAACTACAGATATTACTAGTAATTCATTCCCGTTTTACAAGGGAGTTGGGCACAGAAAGATGAAGTGATTTGCTGAAAGTTACACAGAGAGGGAGAATAAGATCCACTAAGTCGTTACTTGTAAAAAGGGGGAAAAGCTTGAGTGTGGTGGCTCACACCTGTGATCTCAGCACTTTCGAGGCTGATGCAGGAGGAATGCTATGAGTTCAAGTCTCACTCATGATGAATAGGAATTTCTAAGGCAACCATTGCTTTAGTTACCTAGTTTTCTTTTTTTGTTTGTTTGTTTTTGTTTTTGAGACAAGGTTTCTCTGTGTAGCCCTGGGTTAAACTCAACAATGTCCAGCTCTTTTGTTTTGTTTTGTTTTGTTTCAAGACAGGGTTTCTCTGTGTAGCCCTAACTGTCCTGCAATTTGCATTGTAGATAAGACTGACCTTGAACTCACAGAGATCCCAGTGAGTGCCACCACCACCTGCCTCTTTTTTTTTTTAAGTCAGTATGGTGCCTCATGTTTGTAACCCTAGCATGAGAGGCTAAGGCAGGAGGACCAACATAAATTAGAGGCTAGCTTGGGCTACATAGTTTCAGGCTAGCCTGGACTACAGAGTGAGACCATCTCAAAGACAAAACCAAAAAAGCCCAGAGAATATCACAGAAGGGAGGATAGAAGAGTGCAAGTTGCTGTTTTCTGAGCATGACATGGCTGTTGTCCCTATAAACTTAGTGGTTACCTGCATGAGACTCCTTGAGGAGCTGTAATCAGTATGATTACAAGGAGAGCAGGATCATCTTACTGTTTACTATGGCCACTGTTGTGCCCACTCAGAGAGGACCCCAAGGCTTCAAGGAGCTTAACAGCACCGAATGCAAGTACAAGAAGGTCATCCGTTTATTTCCGGAAAACCAGCTAGGGCTCAACTCTGAAGGGAAAGGTGAAGCCCAGAGCCACAAAAGCAAGGCACTTTTAAAGAAAAACAGGAGGGGAGGAGGGAGTCCCGAGGTTGCAAATCCCAGCCCGCAGGGTTCCCATGGTTACAGAGAGTACTTAGCATACCAGAGGTTATCTTGAGACTTGAAGACCTTGAGAAGAGAGGAGGAGTCTCAGTAGGGTTTCCATAGTTACAGAGGATTACTTAGTTTCTATACAAAGTTATCTCAAGACAAAGGGCCTTGAGAAGACAATGACTGCTTTTGGTTAGGTAGAATTAATGGCATTTCTGTGGTCTGGGATTCCAAGGCCGGAGCACATCCTAGGATTGTGGGCTAAGGGAGTAGCTTCCATGTGATGTTGCAGCTGCTCATGGGTCTGAACTTCTGATCACGTAACCCCCCTCACTTAGTTGGGGACTTTTATTTTCCTTATTACATTTCATCAGCCACAAGTAACAGCCTTGCCAAGAAGTAAAACCCTATCATGCTCCTGCAAGAGCCCCTACCTATCATAGGTAAAGAGGAAGGTGTGGAGGGAACTTCACGATACATTGCTAAGAGAAAACAGGAAGCTGGAGAACAGTCTATAGGGTGCCACTGTTTGTAGTAAAGTGGGTACAGAGGGCCACTGTGAAAGGCTGAAAACATTCTGTTCTGACACCAAATATTTGAGTTTTTACCTAAACATCAAAATACGGGGAGGGGGGTTCTTTTTTTAACCACCAAGCCATCTCTCCCAGTCCAATTTAAGAGTTCTTATAAGCTGGGTGGTGGTGGCGCACACCTTTAATCCCAGCACTCGGGAGGCAGAGGCAGGTGGATCTCTAAATTTGAGGCTGGGCTGGACCGACAGCCTCCAAAACAATACAGAGAAACCCTGTCTCGTAAAACCCCCCAAAAAAAAAAAAAGAGTTCTTATAGAGGTTCCATTTCACAAGAACAGTGACAAAAGTGTTAGCCATTTGATGATTATTTGATCTCTAGTCCCTCTGTGTGGAACTTACTTTTTAACCTCTTAATCACAGGTTAGTTATTGTCACCTTATCTGCATGAAGGGAGTGTCAGCAGTTAAGAGCTCTTGTTGGAACCTGGAACAATGACCAAATGTATGTTCTCAAAGCACAGTGTCCTATGTTCGCGTTTGCTTTTTATGTGTAAGATGCTTGTGGAAGGAGGGACTAAAACCAGTAGGAAGAAGAAGCAGGTGGCTGAAAGAGGCCAATTGGGAAGGCCAATCATTTGATACATTGTGGGGTTTTTGTTGTTTTGCCAAATGAATATTGTTGGGTTTTTATTGTTGTTTTAAGTACAAATATGTTTCAAAAATTCAAAATCCAAGGCTGCAGAGATCGCTCAGTGGTTAAAAGCACATACTGCTCTTACAGAAGACCTGAGTTTAGTTCCCCATAATCTGTAATTGTAGGTCCAACAGGTTCATGCATCTTCTTTTTTCAAATGCTTAGAGTGGGTATGTCTGCATGTATCTGTATGTGGTGTATACATGTAAGTGTGCCTGTCCCCACTCCTCTGTGTGTGCACATGCAGAAGCCAGAGCAGGTTGAGTGTCTTCCCATATGACTTCCCACACGGTTGCCTTGGGGCAGATCTTCTCACTGAACCAGAAGCTTGTCCTTCTCTTAGGCTGGCTGGTGAGCTCTTGGGATATTCCCGTTTCCATCCCCCAGTGCTGGATTTCCGGGCTGTACAAGGTTGTTAGAGTAGAACTCAGGTCTTCATGCTTGCATAGCACTGAGACATCTCCTTAGCCTCTATGATTACCTCTTCATGTTAGTTTGGCAGTTTCTTTAAGCCATTCAGAGGGCCTGTGGCAGTCATCAGTTCATTATTGTTGTGTCAGCCCTGCTTTACATAGCTTTCTGTCTTGGGGCATTAAGGAAAGTAGCTGTTTCAAATGAAAACTAAATTGGCTACAGTGGCATGCACCTGTAATCCCAGCTTCTTCTGAGGCTGAGGCAGCTGAGTATAAGTTTAGGGCTTGCTGGGCAGCATAGTAAGACCCTGACTTAAAGTACTTGTTGAGAGTTTCTTACGGTGAGTATTTTATGCCTGACTCCATACTGCTTTCTCCATGGTTCTGAAACACATGTTTTACTCCCTTCTCAATAGTTTTGAAACACGGAAAACGCTGGGGGGAAGAGGAAGTGAAGATTCATCTTGTAATCCCGTTTTTTCAACTCTTCCTGAGACCAACATTTTAAATGTAGTTAAGGTATGAAAGACTTTGTATATCTGTAGCAAAAAATTGGAATCAGTTTTGTGGTTGTTTAAAATTCCACTGGTTTCTCCCCAAGTGGAAGGTCTTAGCAATTGTATTTCCATTATGAATGCATTTTTCTTTTATTTTAATATTAAGAGCAAAAAGGAATTTCACAATGTCACTGTTAAAGTGTTACAATATAGTTTATTGACCAAGAATTAATTGCAGGCCGGGCATTGGTGACGCATGCCTTCAATCCCAGCACTCAGGAGGCAGAGGCCAGTGAATCTCTGAGTTCGAGGCCAGCCTGGTCTACAGAGTAAGTTCCAGGACAGCCTCCAAAGCTACAGAGAAACCCTGCCTCGAAAAACCAAAAAAAAAAAAAAAAAAAAAGAATTGCAGTGTGAAAATATTTTAGTTGCTGAATCCAATCAATAATATTGAACAACAGAGAAGAAAATACTTATTCTTTCATTCTACTATTTGTGTTATGTTTCTTGCCTTTTCTAGACATCTGATACTTGTTATCTGTTGGGGGGGTCCTTTTTTTTTAATCTTTTGTCAAGAATATAATTTAAACTCTTGAGGTAATTATTTGTCTTTGTGCATTTCTGGCAGTTCCTAGGCTTGTGTACATCTATACATCCAGAAGGTTACCAAGATCAAGAAATAATGTTGCTGATTTTAATGCTATTTAAAATGAGTTTGGAAAAAGAGCTGAAACAGATTCCGTTAGTAGACTTTCAAAGCCTCCTGATAAACCTCATGAAAAACATCAGAGATTGGAACACAAAGGTAACATTTCTTAAAATGTAGGTGTTGTGCCAAGGATGGCTGGAGAACTAAAGCATAGTTCAGTAGTTGCATACGTGCCTAGCAAGTAAAAGGCTGGACTGCATAGCAGAAGAAAACAAAATTACTGTAATAGGATCCAAGCATGCAAGAATTTTCAGGTCTTGAATATACATGATCTCGTGTGGGGGGGTGGGTGTGTGTGGGTGTGTGTGGGTGTTATACACACTTGGGGAAACCGGTGTTTGAATACTTTATTCTTCCAAGAAGGACCGCCAAATATGTAAAGTATAGCAACAATATGAGAGTGACATGAAATACTAGCAGGATGTATGTAACAATCATTCTAGGGTACTTTAAGAAAAACAAAATTTAGCCGGGCGTTGGTGGCGCACGCTTTTAATCCCAGCACTCGGGAGGCAGAGGCAGGCGAATCTCTGTGAGTTCGAGGCCAGCCTGGTCTACAAAGTGAGTTCCAGGACAGCTTCCAAAGCCACAGAGAAACCCTGTCTCGAAAAACCAACAAAAAAAGAAAAAGGAAAAACAAAATTTGTGTTATATGCATTTTAGTAGGTTTTAAATGGCATGGATTTTCATAATTCAGAGTTCTGTTTTAGTGACTTCCATTAAGGCAACAAGGCTTATAGATTTGATCTGGGCATATTCTCTTTTTCCAGGTGCATGAACTCTGTGTGGGCATAAATGAACTCTCCAGTCATCCCCACAACCTTCTGTGGTTGGTACAGCTGGTCCCTAACTGGACATCTCGTGGAAGGTATTGAAAAGTGAGATAAGCATCAAGATGTTTTATAATGCTCCTGCTAGTTAAATGCTTTGGAATTATTATTGTGAAACAGGGTCTTACTATGTAGCCTCGGCTGGCCTCAAACTCAGGGTCCTCCTGTCTCAGCGTCTCCTGAGTGTTCAGTTTTCAGGCCTAGGCCACCACACCCAACTTGGGACTTTTGTTTCTACTCATCATTTTCTGAATGTCCTTTTATTTTATTGAGGTGAAATGTGTAGAAATCCTGATTATGTTACTTAATTCAGAACATGACTATTCTTGGTTTTTATTTTTAGCTTATCATATAAGTCAGTATAGATCAGTGGTTCTCAACCTTCCTAATTCAGTGACACTGTAATAGTTTCTCATATTGTGACCCCCCAGACATAAAACTATTTTTGTTGCTACTTCATAACTGTAATTTTACTATGGTATTAATAATAATGTAAATATTTGTTGTGCAGTATATATGATGGATTACCCCTGTGAAAGAGTCATTCAGACTACCCCCACCACCACCACCCTACTGCCAGGGGTTGAGAACTGATGGTATAGATGATACATAGCAAAATTGATTTGCTTTTTGCAGGGGGTGGGAAGGGTGAGACAGGTTTCTCTGTATAGCCGTGACTGTTCTGTAGACCAGGCTGACCTTGAACTGACCTGCTTGTCTCTGCCTCCCAAGTGCACGGGTTAAGGGCATGTACCACCACACTCAGATTCTTTTCTGCAAAGTCTGGAGCTCCCCATGTGAGGGGGAGGATGATCTTGAACTCTGATCTTCCTGCTAAGCACTAGGATTACCAGTGTTTACTGCCACACTAGGACTTAGTGCATGCTAGGTGGGCATTCTACCCACTGAACCACCCCACGCCCTAGGCAGTTCTAACTTGATGTGCACATATTTTACATGAACACTGCTGCTCTATAACAGTTGGTTCTGAAAAAACCTTGAGAGACTAAGGCTCCTTTTGGCTCATTTGCTCGCTTGTCAAATAGTACTGTTTAAATGCATTATAAAAACTTCTCATTTCTACTTCTAGGCAACTGAGGCAGTGTCTTAGTCTGGTGATTATTTCAAAGCTTTTGGATGAAAAACACGAAGATATCCCTAATGCTAATAATCTTCAGGTATAAAGATACTTTTGTTTGTAATAAATGGGAGACTTAGTGAGGTGTTGGGAAATTTGATGAACCCTAAATCAGAAGTCCTGACTAGCAGGATGTGGTGGTTCATGCCTTTAATCCCAGCACTCCGAAGGCAAGAAACCCTGTCTCAAAAAACCAAAACTAACGCTGGGTGGTGGTGTCTCACAACTTTAATTCCAACACTTGGAAGGCAGAGGCAGACGGATCTCTAAGTTCGGGGCCATTCTGGTCTACAAAGTGAGTTTCAGGACAGCTAGGACCACACAGAAAAACCCTGTCTGGAAAAACATACATACATACATACATACATACATACATACATACATACATACAACCCAAGTCCTGGTTAAACTTACCTTTCAAGCATGATTAGGTACTCTTTTGCGTTGTAACTAATAAAAAAAGACCCAGTTTATCAGATATAAAATGGAGATAGTATAGCCTCTTCCCTATAAGTTAGTTACAGACAGATGAATTAATCTGTAGATAAACTGAGAAAATCATAATGTGCTATTAGCAGGTATGACATTGAGAGTATATTCAATTTCCCAAGATTAGCAGGATTAGAAATTGTGGTGTTAAGCCGGGCGGTGGTGGCACACGCCTTTAATCCCAGCATTCGGGAGGCAGAGGCAGGCGGATCTCTGTGAGTTCAAGGCCAGGCTGGACCGATAGCCTCCAAAACAATACAGAGAAACCCTGTCTTGTAAAAACCAAAAAAAAAAAAAAAAAGAAAAGAAATTGTGGTGTTAGGACTAGGAATTGCAAGGCTGCTAACCACATCTTACACCTATTTTAAAAGAGATGGTCTATGGATCATAAAACTTAATGTGGTTTGCCTCCAGTGCTTGTTCCCACTGTAGAGGGTATGGCAGATATATATGAATATGTATAAATATATCTTACAGAAACACCACTCTGTGTTCTACTGACTTTGCAAACATGATAGCACTAATAGAACTGTGGTGGTTTCAATGTAATTGCCCCCCATAATCTCATGGGATGTGGCACCATCAGGAAGTGTAGCTTTATTGGGGTGTGTATAGCCTTGTTAGAAGAAGTGTGTCACTGTGGGGACAGTCTTTGGTGTTTCCTATGCTTAGGATACCACCCAGTGTCTCAGTTGACTTCCTGTTGCCTTCTGATCAAGATGTAACCAGCATCATATCTGCCATGCTCTCCTGCCATGATGATAGCAGACTGAACCTCTGAAACTATAATCGAGCCACCCCAGTCAAATGTTTCCTTGTAAGAGTTCCTGTGGTCATGGTGTCTCTTCACAGCCGTAGAAACTTGACTATGAAAAGGGCTGCCCTTAGTTGGATTTGAAAACTCATTAAAACTTTGTGTGTCCTGGTATTATTCTTGCTTGAATTGCAGGTCACTATGCGACTGCTCTGGAAGACAGAGTAGTATGAACCATTATGTGTGAGAGCGTTATTCGAATATGCACAAGATACCATGGGACAGAACTGACTGCCACCCCGGTTAGGTGGGGGTGGATTGTACATACATGGGCACCATTCCTGAGCCACTAAGATAATTAAAAGCTCTCATTCTATTCAGCAATATTTATAACCACAAGGCTCTTTTTTTGGGGGGGGGTTGTTTGGTTTGTTTGGTTTGTTTTTTGGTTTTTTGAGACAGGGTTTCTCTGTGGCTTTGGAGGCTGTCCTAGAACTAGTTCTTGTAGATCAGGCTGGTCTGAAACTCATAGAGATCCTCCTGCCTCTGCCTCCCGAGTGTTTGGATTAAAGGCTGCGCCACCAATGCCCGGCCATGCCACAAGGATCTTGTCTATCACCTTTTCCTTTTATATCTATAGAAAAGAGAACTGCATGAATAATTAACCATCAGGCTTACTACTTGACGTCAGCCAGACCTGCCACTCACTAATAGCCCAGTCAGCCTTGACCTCCCAGTGATCCCCTTGCTTCAGCATCAAGTGTTGGAATTGTAAGCATGAGCTACCACATTGGATAGATAGTGCTTCATTTTTAGAATTCAATGACCTCTTATAATATCATTTGATTTTGTTCTAAGCATTTAACCTAAATTACAAATACTAAATCTTAACATAAAATACCTTCTTAAGCAATTGAGGACTTTCAAATAAAGAGAAAAATGGGTATTGTAGAACCCACACCAGGAAAAAGAGCCAGAATGATAGTGGGCACCCTGGAGTTAGCTAAGGATAAAGCGTGCACTGGAACTGACCGAGTCTCTCTTCCCTTGGTAGATCTCAGTTCTACACCGATATCTGGTGCAGATGAAGCCTTCTGATTTGTTGAAGAAAATGGTCCTGAAGAAAAAGGCTGAAGAACCAAATGGAACTATTGATGACAGCCTTCATTTAGAACTAGAAAAGCAGGTATCCAGAGCTAGAGCTCGGAGAATGCATAGGGGCATACAGTAGAAGATGTTTTAGAGTTTATTGCTGTCAGAAAATTCTTCAGAATTGAGAGCTGGGTGAAAGGGCAGATGTTAGTAATTGAATGTGTTCTGCCGTGGCCCTGTACTAAGGCAGTTGTAAGATGGTGAAAAGAAAACACTTAATTTAGAAACCAGAAAGTCTGGTTAAGTGCATGGCTTTTCCTTCCTCACAAAGTTACATCCTATTTCTCCTAGGCAACTTTGCTAATGGGTAGACTAGGGTGGTATTTATGCTAGCTTTTTCATGGGTACTAATTTTCTTCCATCTCTCTAACAGGCATACTACCTGACCTACGTTCTTCTTCATTTAGTTGGGGAAGTTAGTTGTTCTCATTCTTTTTCTTCTGGACAGCGGGTAGGTAATATTCAGTGTTATTTATAAATCGGTGTTTCCATTGGTAGAATGAGTGAGCATGTGTGTGTTAAAAGAAGACTTGAAAGTTGACTGGTTTTGCTGTAGAAACCCGGGAGTCATAGTAACCTGCTGCCATATCATAGTGACAAGATTATTTCTCCACAGTTGTTGGTTAGAGTAGAGCTTAGTGACCATAACCTGGCAATAGGGTCACCAAATGGACTAACTTTCTTCCTTTGAAACTCCACTCACTTTTGTTTTCCTGTAGGAAAACTAAAACACCTTTAAAAATGTTATTTAGAGGAACCTGGGAGATGACTTACTGGTGTAAAGGTCTTTGCTGCCAGGTTTGGCAGCCTGAGCTCAACCCCAGGCACAACATGATGGAAGGAGAGGCCAACATAAGAATTATCTCTACCATTTGGACACCGTGGCACATGTATATATGCAAAATTAAATGTTTTAATTTTATTTAGAAATGTTTGCCTTCCAGGTTATAATGAAACTACTGTTAAGTCAGTCTACTTCAAATAAGCATTTCTGAATTATCTCTCCATATTAAGAATTTCATTTTTGGGCTGGAGAGATGGCTCAGCAGTTAAGGGAACTGACTGCTCTACCAGGGGTCCTGAGTTCAATTCCCAGCAATCATATGGTGGCTCACAGCCATCTCTATTAGAATAATTTGATGCCCTCTTCTGGCATAAAAGTATACATGCACACACATACATTAAATAAATAAATCTTTTAATTTTTTTTCATTTATGTGTTTTTGTTTTGTTTTTCGAGACAAGATTTCTCTGTGTATAGAACAGGCTGTGCTTGAACTCACAGAGATCCGCCTGCTGAGTGCTGGGATTAAAGTTGTGTGATGCTGCTGCCACGACCACTAACATCTGGAAAGAATTTCACTTTTGAAGCCAGGCATGGGAGTGTACACCATTAATCCAAGCATTCCCAAGAACCAGATTAAAATCATGTGCTACCGGGCCTACTGTTTTGTGTGTTGTGAGACAGTATCTCATAAAGCCCAGGCTGGTTTCCAATTCCTGATATAGATGAGGGTGACCTTGAACTTCTGATCCTCCTTCCACCTCCCAAGTGCTAGGATTAAAGGCATGCACTATCTCTCCAGACTAAGAAACTTTTTGAAGCACTCGGGAGGCAGAGGCAGGTGGATCTCTGTGAGTTCGAGGCCAGCCTGGTCTACAGAGTGAGTTCCAGGACAGCCTCCAAAGCTACAGAGAAACCCTGTCTCAAAAAACCAAAAAAAAAAAAAAAAAAAAGAAACTTTTTGAAGTAAATAAATTTGATTCTGTATTAATAAAAGCATAGGCATTAATACAGTTATTGATGTTGTGATGAACTGCAACCATAAAATTATAACTAATCTTGCTACTGTTATGAATTGTAATATAAATATCTGATCTCATATACAGGAAATCAGATAGATGATACCTGAAGGGGTCTTGCCTTAAATAGTGAGACCTTGTCTCAGAAATAGAAAAAACAAAACAAACAACAAAACCAGACCTAGTTTAGTGTGGTATTGCTTTATCTTTAATTCCAGCAGAGATAGGCAGGTCTCTTAGTTTGAAGCCAACCTGGTCTACATAATGAGTTCCAAACCAGCCAAGGCTATATAGTGAGATCCTACCTCAAAAAAAAAAAAAAAGGCCGTATGGTGACAGTGCACACCTTTAATCCTAGCATTCAGGAGGTAGAGGAGGCAAGCAGAACTCTGTGAGTTCAAGGCTAACCTGGTCTACAGAGTTCCAGGATATCCAAGGTTCCAGAGAAACCATGTCTCAAAAGCCAGGACACACGTACGTTATAAGCCTGTATTCCCATCTGCCCAGGAGGCTGAGGCAGGTATAAGTGATAAAACACTTTCTAGCTTGTTGGAGACACCATATTCAATATCAAGTATTGGTGGAAAAGAGATTGGGCCAGATTTTGTGGCTCACCCTGGCTACTCTGGAGAAATAAGTAAGAGGATTCAAGGCCAGTTTCAATATAGCTAAACTACCTCTCAGAGAACTAGAAAGGAGCGCAGTTAAGAATCATGGAAGAGACCAGCAAGGTGTTTTAGCAGATAAAGTGCTTTCAAGTAACCCTAGTTCACTCCCCAGGAAGGGTTTCTGACCTCCACACATGTACAGTGATATTCATCCCATGCAGGCATGTATACTTACACAATAATAAAAGGGTTTTTTTTTTTTTTTTAGCTTTTTAAAAGTTTTATTTTCATGTAGGTGTGTGTGTCTTCATTTAGGAATGCACGTGTGAATGCAGATGCCTTTGGAGGCCAAAGACCCCAGATCCTTGAAGCTATGGTTAACAGTTGAGAAATGCTTAATGTGAATACTAGGAACCAAAATCTACTGAGCCATCTCTCCAAGCCCAGTAAAGGACAAGGAGATAGGTCACATACCTGTAATCCCAGCACTCTACACTCAGAAGGTGGAGAAAGGTAGTAGGAGTTACATCTTGTACACATGAGCGTGCCAAAGCCCACACGGCAGGCAGTGTTGTGGGTGCTGAGGGTTGAACTCAGGTCAGGCCTGGCAGCAGGGACTTTACCCACTGAATGATTCTAATCGGCCAGATTTTTTTTTCCCCACAAAAAAAGGATCTCATTATTTTGTCTCAGTGGTCTTCAACTGATCCTCCTACCTTAGCCTGCCTAATACCTAGAACCATTAAGCATTTGCTGTGCCTCACCTAGTTCCTCTGTGTGTGTGTGTGTGTGTGTGTGTGTGTGTGTGTGTGTGTGTGTGTGTGTGTGTGTGTGTGTGTGTGTGTGTGTGTCTTGTTTTTTTCAAGACAGGGTTTCTCTGTGTAGCTTTGGAGCCTGTCTTGGAACTCGCTCTGTAGGACCAGACTGCCCTCTGCTTCTCGAGTGCTGGGTTAAAGGTGTGTGCCACCAACGCCTGGCCCTTTGTGTATTTTTTAATTAACTAGCAATGAGCCATAACCATTATGTTCTTATGAAACTCAACACCTTTCTCTGGCAGGACTCCATCAAGTAAATTTTAAGTGATTTAGATTTTTTAACTGCATAGTCTGTTACTTTTCAAGACTTCAGAATTGTTTTCATTTGTTATATTTGGTTTGTTTTACATAGAAACACTTCGTGCTGCTTTGTGGGGCTTTGGAAAAGCATGTTAAATGTGATATTAGGGAAGATGCAAGGCTTTTCTACAGAACTAAAGTAAGTATATTATTTCTGTCCGGTGTGGGGTATACGCATGCTGAGAGTTGGCGAACATGGGCATGTCTAAGGACAGTTGTGAATGTCAGCTCTTGCCTTATACCTTGTTTAAAACAGAGACTAGTTGTCCTTAGAGCTTCCAGTTATTACAGATGTGTACTGCTGCACCTGGCTCTACATTGATTCTGGGGATTTGAACTCCAGTCCTCACCCTTACATAGCAAGCACTTAACTCACTGAGTGCCCTGCTTTCTGTTTTTATGTATTGTTGGCAGTGCCACCTGTAGTCCTGGCACTTGGAAGATTAAGGCAGGAAAAGCCAGGGTGTAGCTGGAGTACCTCTGCAGCCTGGTCCCACAGCCAATTAGGCCCATATAAGCACACAAAGACTTACATTAATTTATAATGTGTTGGCTGATGGCTAGGGTTTCTTTACTGGCTAGCTCTGTCTTAATTATTAACCTATTTCTATTAATCAGTATATTGCCACAAGGCTGTGACTTACCCGTAATCATCATGTTACTCCTTGAGCAGCATGGCGTCTCTAGGTGGCCTCTCCCCAGCCTTCTCCTGGTCTGGTAGCCCCACCTGTGCTATCGGCCAATCAGGGTTTTATTCATCAACCAATAAGAGAAACATACACAGAAAGACATCCCCCATCACCAGGTCCTGGGCCTTCTTGGGCAACACAATGAGACTCTGTTGGAAGACAAAGAAAATGTAAGCAAGAGAAATTCACAAGCTGCTCTTTGGGGAAGAAAAAAGAAAAAACATAGTAAGGGCTTGTGATTATGGTATAGTTTAGTGGTAGTGTGCCTAGGCCACTCCATTGGATCCTCATTTCATGTATATATATTTCAAAGAACATAAAGAAGACTTTTTTGAATGAAGATATTTAAATTATATAGCCTAGGCTTGCCTCAAGCTCTTTTTGTTTTGTTGAAACAGGGTCTCACTATGTAGCCCTGACTCGCCTGGACCTCAGAGTGTGCACCGGGCTGTCCTTTACCTCATATAGATCTGCCTTCCAGTGTTGATACAAGCATCCTCTACTGTGCCTGGCTTTCTTCAAACTTTTGGGGGTTTTGTTGTTGTTTTTGTTTTGTTAATACATTCATTTATTTCCTGGTAGGGGTGGGGCACACATACTCCAGTGTATGTACACTGATTGGGGTATATAGGTCACAGGAGAACTTGTGGGAGTTGGTCTTTTCCTTCTACCATGTGGATCCCGAGGACCAAACTCAGGTTGTTAGGCTTAGTGGCAAGTGCCTTCACCTACTAAATCACCTCACTAGCCAAATATCAGAATTTTGGTCCTCCTGCCTCAGACTTTCTAGTACTTGGAATACAGGTGCTAATTATTCCAAGGGTTAGGTCTTGGATAACAAATTAGCTTCTACTAAGTACTTTTCTAGCTAGGTTGAAAGTACAAGTAAGCCAGGCGGTGGTGGCGCACACCTTTAATCCCAGCACTGGGGAGGCAGAGGCAGGCGGATCTCTGTGAGTTTGAAGCCAGCCTGGTCTACAGAGTGAGTTCCAAGACAGCCTCCAAAGCCACAGAGAAACCCTGTCTCAAAAAAAAAAAAAAAAAAAAAAATATATATATATATATATATATATATATATATATATATATATTTCTTTCATCACTATTGGGACCTTCTGGTTTTTCCCATTGTACACATTGAACTTACCCAGAGTGTGGTAAAGTCCCTGCTGCACAAACATAAGGATCTGGGTTTGGATTCCAGCACATCTGTAACCCTCCTGGGGAAAGGCTGGGTCATGGGAGAAGTGGATCATCACATCATCATCATCATCCCCCACCTGCTCATTAGTCTGTGAACTCTGGGTTTAGTACGTGACCTTGTCTCAAAAAATAATGTTGATGATGGAGGAAAACACTGTCCTCCACACACAAAAAAACCTTATGTGTAGGATTGCTTCAAATATTGAGACACTATTTAAATGTACACCTATATATAGTTACAAATTAATGGTTATGCAATTTCGTGATGGTAGAAAAGTCCTTTTATTTATAGAGAAGAACTAGAATAGCCTGCTAGCCTTTGATGCCTTCCTGAAGTCTTCTCTAGGAAGACTCCAATCTGAGTTCTGTATCACCTAACCCACATTGTCGGGTGGAATTGATTCAGCAGTAAGCTTACTAAGGTTTTTCTTGTCTTGTTTTTCTTAAAGTTTTTTTATACACAAAAGACAGTAGAAACCAAATTTATGAGAATGGAGAAGAAAAGCAAGCTTAATGTTAATAGACTGATCTGAAATCTTTGTGAAACACACAAAAATTACTTTTACAAATACCTAAACTTTTTTTTTTAATAACTGGGAGATTTTTTGTTGTATAAAGTGGATCCCTTCTTGGCTTATGTCTGCATAGTGGGTGATGACTGTTTGGGGCTATGTATTTGTATCTTTACGTCAGTTAGCTGCAAAAGCTGGTTATTTGAACAGTACTCAATGGAAGTGTTGTGGGGGTGTTTTACTCACTTTCAAGTAAATATGAAAATGAGCAACTAATGAAATTGAGTCAGACTTCCAAATACACTAGGCAGTAGTGGTCCTTGTCTCAGACTGGAAGCCTAAGCCTCAGGGTGTACTCTGGATTGTGACTAGTTACTGACCTGTACATGTAGTGCTTGTGACTGATGGCACATCCTAAAAGGAACCGCTAAGGTGTATGATTTATTCCTTTTTTTCTTTATTACATTTTATTATCTATCTGGGAGAGGGGTGTGTGTGGGTTTTGTAAGACAACTTACAGGGCCCCAAGGATGGAACTCTGGCCACCAGACTTTATCCACTGAGCCATTTCAATCATTGACCTGAGTTTGTTTCTTTCTTTCTTTCTTTCTTTTTCTTTTCTTTTTTTTTTTTTTTTGTTTGTTTTGTTTTGTTTTGTTTTTCCGAGACAGGGTTTCTCTGTATTGTTTTGGAGGCTGTCCTGGAACTCGCTCTGTAGACCAGGCTGGTCTCAAACTCACAGAGATCCACCTGCCTCTTCCTTCCGAGTTCTAGGATTAAAGGCGTGCACCACCAACACCCAGACAGTTTTACCAGAGCCTCTCTTAGGGTGAGCCAGTGGTCCATGTAAATTGCTTCAGGGGATGAGCTCATTGAAATAGATTAGTAGTTTCATACTTCTCCAAAACCTGTCAGAGAAGTGGTAGTTGTCATAAAGACAGTTTGCTAAGCTTTACTTGGTGGGGGAAAGCAGAGATTTCAGCTGACTTTTTTGTTTGTTTTTGAGACAGGGTTTCTAAACTGTTTAACCCTGGAACTCTCTTTGTAGACCAGGCTGGTCTTGAACTCAGAGATCTATCTGCCTCTGCTTCCTATGCCTGCTTCTTCCTGACTTAAGGCCGGGAATGGTGGATCACTTCTTTAATCCTAGCACTCAGGAGACGAGATAAGCATATCTCAGTGAGCTGAAGGCCAGCCTGGTCTACATACCAGTTCTTGGCCACCAGAGTTCACCATAATGAAAATGTTTCCCCCCAAAAAATTGCTGACTTATTTAAATATTTTTATTCTGGTTGTGGTAGAGCATGCAGTAATTCCATTACTTAGCAGGGGAAAAAAGAAAAACCAGTCAGAGTTAGCTACATAAGGGGTTTGAGGCCTGCCTTTTAATATATGAGACCCTGCCTCAAAGCATACGTAACACAGAGTAATGTTTTTCTCAAGCATCAAAATTCAAGAGATAATCAAGCATGGTAAATGGGCCTTCCTTTTACCTTGCTCGTTTGGTAGCATGAAGCACTGGTGGGTGAGCATCACTTGTGGAAACCTTTGAGTTTGACAGACTGGCCTAATCTCTGCCCACAGTAGGTACCAGGTAAGAGGTTTGTAGAATTTACAGAGAGGGGTCATAGAGTTTAGATCTTCTGATTATGTGGAGGGAGCCAGTGACACATTAAAATTTTTTAGACTTGTGTGATTTTTGTTTTGTTTTGTTTGTTTTTGTTTTTCAAGACAGTTTCTCTATGTAGCTTTGGAGCTAGTCCTGGAACTTGATATGTAGACCAGGCTGGCCCCAAACTCACAGAGATCCACCTGTCTCTACCTCCTAAGTACTGGGATAAAAGGTGTGTGCCACCACTGCCCAGCTTAGACTTGTGTAATTTTATGTGAGTTTTTGTCCTTTGACTGTATGTCTGTATACTGTGTTTGTGCCTGATACCCTTGGTGATCAATAAATAAACAAAATGTAATACTTCTTTATTACATTGCATTGAATTCCCTGGATCTGAGGTTATAAATGGTTGTGAGCTACCATGTAGGTTCTGGGGCTCAAACCTATGTCCTTTGCAAGAGCAACAAGGACTCTTAACTGCTGAGCCATATCCTACATTTTTTGTTGTCTTTCTGTTGAGCCATTTAAAAGCAGGCTATGGTAAAGCTGGAAACAACCAATGCATTGGGCCCTATAAACAATACACCTTCAGCTTCCCGAGCTGAGTTCAAAAGCCAGAGAGTAGAGAGTAGAAATTTCTTTGAATGCAAAGTTGTAGTTCCTTGGACTATCTTTAGTAACAGGAAATTAGGCATGGTGGTTCATTGTCGTAATTCCTGTACTTGGGAGGCAGAGGCAGGAAAATTGCTGTATATTTAGGGCTATCCAGGGCTATATAGGGCAACCCTGTCTCACAGAATAATTTTTAAAAAGGAAATTAAGGACTAGCAAGGGGAACTTAATGGTTAAGAGAACTGACTGCTCTTCCAGTGGACCCATGTTAGATTCTCAGCACCACATGACTGCTCACAGCCATCTGTATGGAATGACTCCAGATCCAGGGGATCTTAAGTCCTCTTCTGACGTTGGTGTAGGCACAACGCCCATACATAAATAAAATGAAAGAAAATTAAGACTGGGTGTTGTGGCTCACACCTAATGCCAGCACTCAGGAGTCAGGGACAGGTGGATCTCTGAATTTGAGGCCAGCCTGGTCTACATAGGGAGTTTTAGGACAGCCAGGATTATATATAGAGACCCTGACTCAAAAAGCAAGAAAAATAAGTCATAATCATTTGATGTTTTAGCCTTTTCTTGACTGCAATCAAGTAGAATTGTTGAGTATAGGCCCATGATAGGTATGAGATATATGTGACTTTCATACTTGTTTTTGCTGTTTTGTTTTGGTTTTTGGTTTTTTTGAAGCAGGATCTCATGCTACAGCTCAGGCTGTCCTAGAAGTACAGCCGTGCAACTCTATAGCAGCAACTATGAGATGCTTTCTGTTAAGTGTTAAGTTGATTTTAAGTGAGCATACTCTTGATCTGTGATATCTTTTTTCCCCTCTTTTTGTTACTTTTAAGGTGAAAGATTTGGTTGCCCGGATACATGGAAAATGGCAGGAAATAATCCAGAACTGTCGACCTACTCAGGTATCTTTTTTTAACGGTTTTATTTTATTATGAAACCCACTGCATGGTGTATGGCTTGTGTCTGATTTTTAGGGTTTGTTTGCACCCATTTTAAAGTGTCAGATTCCTTCAAGTGGAGGTTATTACATGAGTAATCGAAGGTCTGCTAAGGTAACACGTATGTTGTACATTTTACCACTTAGTCTATGGTGACTAGTGTAGACATCCCCACACTTGAACTTCAGCAGCCCCTCCCAGGGCTCCACCACCGTCATGCCTCCCTTTGCTCCCCATAAGCCCAAGGCAGATGCCTATCTGCTTTCTGTCAAGATTTTCCTCTCCTAGAGTCCTACACGTAAGTAAACTATGTGGTCTTTTGTGGCCAGATTCTTTTACCTGACAATGATAAAGAAATCCATGTTGTGATATGTATGTCCTTTCTACTGCTAAACGATATTTGACTGTATTGATACATAACATTTATTTATCCTCTTACAAGATAAACACAAGTTGTTTGTGTTTTCTGACTATTAAGAATAATATTTCTCTAGGTGGTGGTGGCACATGCTTTTAATCCCGGCACTTGGGAGGCAGAGGCAGGCGAATCTCTATGAATTAGAGGCCAACCTGGTCTGCAGAGTTAGTTCTAGAACAGCCAAGGCTACACAGAGGAATTCTATCTCAAAATCAAAAAAGAAAAGGAAAAATATTTCCTTGAACGATTACATACAAGTTTTTGTGTAAATATGTGTTCAAAGGAAAAATAGCTTGAATATATTCTGGGTGGAATCTCTGTGTCTCACAGCATTTCAGTGTTTGTGTGAGGCTCAGGCTGTCCTTGAACTCTGTGTCACCAAGGGTGACCTTGGGCTTCTGGTTGCCTCCCTTCCTCCACTGGTAGGATTGCACATATACATCACCACATCCTGTTCATTCTGAGCTGAGGATCAAATCTGGGCCCCTGTGCATGCTTGGAAGACTTCTACTAAGTGCAGGGTTATGGGGCTTTTTGTTGTTTTGTTTTATTTTGTTTTACTTTGTGTGTATGAGTGTTTTGTCTCATGTATGTCTATGTACCACTCACATGTTGGATAACCTTGGAGGCCAGAAAGTATCAGATCTCCTAGGACTGGAGTTATAAACAGTTGTGAGCTACTATGTGGATGCTGGGAATCAAATCCAGGTCCCCTGGAAGAATGGTCAGTGTTAACCATTGAGCCATCTCTCTAGTTCCCTCAGTAAAATGTTAAGGCTCTGTGCCAATGTGGCATTAACAGCAAAACTTTATATTAATCAGTTTAACGTATTAATCTCCTTAAATATATCCGTTTGTGAGTATACCCATGAGAAAAATGTTCTGTATTTGTATTATTCCTTTTTATTGCCAGAGCACAAAGCGTAAAGGTTAAAGAATCATAAGAAATTTTCAGCTGCGCATGGTAACTTTGTGCTTTAGTCTCAACACTTGAAAGGCAGAAGCAGACAGATTTCTGGGAGTTCAAGGCTAGCCAGGGCTAATAGTAAGACCCTATCTCAAAACAAGAAAGGTGTTTTCAGAGATGTGTGTATATGATGATTTTTCTGCTTTCATTATTAAAACCTGATGTCCAGTGATTAAAAGAATTAATTCATAATCTGATTTAAGTTTTCCTTTTCCCCCCTTCTCCAGGGGCAGCTTCATGACTTCTGGGTGCCAGATTCTTAACAGGAGTTACAGCAGCAGAAATACAAAGCCAGAAGGGTCTTTCCAAGAGGGTTACTGTGGGATCCAGCAGATGCTAAGGAACACAGCTATGTGCCACTCGCATATGTAGTGTGAAGCTGGTGATGAAGACTTGGCCGTTTCTGCAGCAGATATGAAATACCATTTGCAGCTGACCTTAGAGGAAGGAACAGGGGCCTATAAAAGGAGGGTAGAAGCAGGCTCAGCTGGTAGAAGAATCCAGCCTGCCCTTCCTAGCAGTTACCATGTAAGGTGGTGTCATAGCACTTGGATCATCACAGAAAATAAGGAAAAGTGTGGACCAACTTGAGGAGTTGGACATTGAAACAAAGGCCGAGGCCCAGCTGGTTTTCATCTCCCTCTTGGTTATTTTTGGGTATAAAAGGAACGCCTAGAATAGAATTCTATAATCAGAAGTGTGGGTCTATTCTGTAACTCTGTAAACCATAGGCAGTTTCAGTCCATACATTGTCCCTTTACTATTCAAGATTATAAATCTGAAGTTTTTAAATCTATTTAAAGTCAATTAAGGAACAAACAAACTGTCAGATTGCCCTTAGAGGAAGAGATTAAGCTACAAAGTAGTGACTGTTTGTAAAATGCCAGAACATTCATGGGCAGTTTGTTTAAGATTTCTTGTAAATGCATATATTTTTAAAATACTGGTTCAATCATAAAATCTTAGCTAAGCCAGAATTCTGGCCATTGGTAACTATATTACAAAGTCTCTGTATAAAGGCTTAAAAAATCTGGAAGTTTCCAAAACCTTGTTCCCATGAGTATGTAATATCGCAGAGACCTTGATAATGTTATTTTGGGGACACTGTGTGTGTGTGTGTGTGTGTGTGTGTGTGTGTGTGTGTGTGTGTGTGTGTTCACTCGAGTGTTTGTATCTTGAAGTTGTTGCACTTGAAAACCACAGCTGCTCTAAATTCTTTTAAACACTGGAAAGCCATCCTTTAGTTTAGATGGTAGAGGGTTAGCAGAGTTGTACATGCTAGATTGAGCCTGAGGCTCTCTGAAACATTTGGTAGTAACACTCATGTTGACCGATGTCTGTTTAGGGAGGGTTTGCTTCCTGAAAGGGATGCCAACTGCTTATTCTTTGAAAATTGGCTTAAGTGGCTTGCTCCCTCCTGAGCATGCTAACGTCTGTGTGGGCCCAGGTTGGGGGTGAAAAGGAAACTGGGCTCGACGTTTATGGTTTGAGAGGAGAAAATAAGTTCTGAGAGCTAACTTTCTACCTCTAAATTGAGGCTTAGGAATAAAAACCATTTTATCTTAAATTTATCATTTAAAATAACATTAGTAGCTTTTGAGCTCATGTCAAGCATTGGGCAGTTAGAGATTTTATAGGGAAGGCTGAACAAATCAAATTTTCAAGAACTGAGGCTGATTGAGGCTCCAAGAGTCAGACCAACAAAAGTTTTCTTCTGTGTTGAGTTTACCGGTAAGAATAGTATCTTGATGCTACCTCTCAAGGGTATTATTACAAAATGCCACTATGGTTAAAGAGATAGATACAAAGAGTTATATTTGACAGAAGCTTGAAACTCTGGCATCTATCTGCCCAACAATGGGGGCTTTCACTCTGTAATTTAATACCTTGTAGATACATTATTTGTGTGTAATTTTATAAGTGTTCATATTTTTCTCATTTTGCATTGTGTAAAGTGTACAAAATCTCAAAAGTATAAAAATCTGCTTATATTGCTTGTAATTACAGTGTGTAAATATTTTCTATTGTGTACATTGACGGGGACAAGTGGGTTATTCAGGTTTTTAAGTGACCCTTTTATATTGCAGTTTCAACTGATAACCACCCATCAAATTAAAAACCACTTTGATACATTCTTATTTAGCCGTTCCAATAAGTAAAATCTCTATTTTCAATTGTCTTTCTCCATGAGAGGAAAATACTTTATCCTTACCTTTAAAATAAATGGCCAGACCAGTTTAGGCCCTTGTATTTATGACTCTGGTAGCAGTCTTCAGTCTCCGGGTCATAGTCCAGTCAGTATTTGCATTTGGGTTCTCATAGAAACTTTGTGATTCTATTTTAGCACAAGTAGTTCATGGTTTTTCTCCCAAATCAAGTGTTTTCCATCTCCTGAGTCCCCATGCTTTGTCTCCCTCCAGCTGTTGTCGCCCAGAAAATGGGATGGTAACGAGGGAGAAAATGCTCATTGCACAAAGACTGTCAGGCCACATTTGGGACTTGACAAACAAAGCTTGCACTGAGTGGTGGTGTGTTTGGCAATCTTACTGTGCCAAAAATCACCTTGTCTAATTTTCTGGATGTGTATGTCAAACTTATTACCCTTACTGCAAGCTGAAAATTAAAGTACTTGTGTTTATGCTTTTGTGTGTAACTGTTTGCCTTTTCTAACCTGCTTTTCTTGTTATCTGAAAATACAGTTCTGTAATAACGTTCCATGAAGAGGCTCCATACACAAGTCATCTGTATTAGCACTAAAGTCAGCATTTGTGCGTTTGTTTGTCTTATCTCCTCCTGGTGGCAGTGGTGCCTTTGTCACCTCTCGGAAGGTTGGCATTTTGCTTTTGAGTGCAAGTAGTAGCTTGCTTTTGACCTTACAAAAAAAAAAATATAAATATATATATATATATATATATGTATCTCCCCAGTAAAAAGATAGATAAGATAGTGTGTTACCATCCAGGCTCTATTATTGAAGAATTTGCGCTTTTTTGTTTGTTTGTTTTTGTTCCTTCCCAATCAAAATACATACAGTTGGTAGGGACTGGCCAGTAATAATGTGTGGAGTCTTTAAACCAAGAGTAATTTCTTTACATTTGAAAAGTGACTTATTGACAAGCAGCTGAGTTAAGAGAACTGACTTACTTGGCTTGTCAGGAGGCAAGGGTAGGGTATAGAGGGTGGGCCTGTGAACCAATCAGCACAGTCCAGTCTTGGTGGGTGTGCCTGCTCGATGGTGCTGGCACACCCCATCATCTGTGTGTCAGTTCCCGGGGGGTTCTAGCCAGCCAGTTAACCTAGCTCTTAGGCAGTAAATGCAATGTTTCCTCCTCCCCGCTTTCTTTAAAATTTTATACTATGTCTTGTTTAAAGTCCTCTAAATGTATGTGTATGTGTTATTAAACTTTTCTCTGTTTAAATATGTCTGGTGACATTTGATTGAGGAGTGGAGGTGGCCAAGTGTCTGGAATGTCCTGTCTTAAACTGATTTCTTCCTTGCTTTGGATTCTCCAGGGGTTTTTTCACTTGATGTCTCCTTATCTGTGGAAAACAAAGCCACAGCTGTCCGCAGCTCATGTTTACATCACCCAATTAATAATTTGTTGTATACTTTACAGTCAGGAATTTAATAATCTCATTCTTACCTCATTCTCCACATCCATTTGGCTGCTATTGAATACCTACATGTTAGGATTTGGTGGTGAACAACATAAAACTCATGACTCTTACCTGCTGGTATCTGGGGAAAACAGACAGAAGATGAAAAAGTACCCTTGACCTGGGTGTTGTATTCTAGAGCCCAGGGTCAAGAAAGGTGATTTTACAATGCAGACTGGTTCAGAGCCACCTGTGACCTGGCAGACATTACAGCGTATGATATGCCGGCTGTGGGAAAGCTGATACCGCATAAGAGAAATGTATGACCTCACCTCATAGAAGGCGTAGGCATTGTTGTCAGAGCCATAGTGCCACAACCTTGTAATATGTCCTCCCTTATGGTAGACAAGGTTGACAAGATGGATGGTGACAGCCCAGGTAGAAGCAGGTATGGGCATAAATACTGGGGGATAGACCTGTAGTTTAAAGAAAGAACTAGGCTTGGCCTCCAGCCTCCGATCACCATACTGACCGTTGCCTTTGTTGGCAAGTTACCGGAGTTCAACCTGTTGAAAGGAATAACTCAGCACAAAGTCTAGAGTGCAGCTAGCATGAACAGAAAAAACCTTAGCTGCTGTTTCTTAGCTCCAAGAAGGCTCTTTGAGGGCACCAGACTTCATTTCAGGTGGTTGTGAGCCACCATGTGGTTACTGGGAATTAAACTCAGGACCTCCGGAAGAATAGGCAGTATCTTAACTCCTAAGCCATCTATCCAGCCCCGCAAGGAGGCTCTTTTAAGAAAACAAAATTGAGCCGGGTGGTGGTGGCGCATGCCTTTAATCCCAGCACTCAGGAGGCAGAGGCTGGCGGATCTCTGTGAGTTCGAGGCCGGGCTGGACCGACAGCCTCCAAAACAATACAGAGAAACCCTGCCTCGTAAAAACAAAAAAAAAAAAAAAAAAAAAAAAGTTGAGCCAGGTGGTGGTGGCCCACACCTTTAATCCCAACACTCAGGAGGCAGATGCAGGTGGAATCTCTGTGAGTTTGAGACCAGCCTAGTCTACAGAGTGAATTCCAGGATAGCTAGAGAGAACTGTTAGGCAGAGAAACCCTGTCTCAAAAAAAGATTTTGATGCCCCTGGAGAAAATAGTTAAGTAGTTAATGTGACTGCTCTTCCAAGGATCTGAATCCCCATCACTTACGATGGCTAACAAGTGTAACTCCTGTGCCTTCTTCTGACCTTTGTGGGCACCTAATGCTCAGTTACACATGTAGGGAAAAAAACATCCACACATAAAATATTAACTAATTCTAAAAAGAAAATTGGTCAGAAGCAGGCAACTGTGGTTGTGCTTGCTTCTAAATAAGACCTTAGCTCCTAACAGTCAGAGCTGATGCTGCTCCTTCAGACTGGGAAGTGTAGCGGCTTCCACCCCTGTTCTTGCTGCCAGAAATAGGATTCAGATTTTGTGTTATAGCTCATGCCTATAATCCCAGCACATGGGAGGCAGAGGCAGGAGGATCACAAATTTGAGGTCATCCTGGGCTACAGTTTGAGACCCAGTCTTTACCACCACTGCTGAGCACGCTGATGTTGGAGGGTGGTTTTCCAGCACCTGCAGACATGTCCTGACACACCCTTCTTGCTAACCAGGCATGGAGTCAGGGGAAGTCAAACCAGAAGGCCCAGCTTTGGGTCTGACTCCAAGTGGCTAAAGTTCTGGAAAACGTAGCAGGCTTCTGAGGCACAGTAAGACTACATACACCATTGTTGTACGGGGGCAGTCGAAACTGAGGAAGTTCCTTGGCCGTGTGTGGTTAAAGATCACACCCCCATAAAGAAAGTGCTGGGCAACCAGATAGAGATGACAGAGCAGGAGCAAAGGCACCTGTGAGCACGAGACAGAACATCTTAACAAGGCCTGCATTCTCTATCTCGGGGAACCTCTGTCTAAAGAGTTTTAAGTTAATATGCTGCGTCTTCCTAAGCCCCCAACATAAGGAGTTCAGTTCTTTGTGCCAATCCTAGAGCCAAACCGGCCTTGAAGTGTGTGTCAGGACACCATCGCCACCAGCCTCAGTCACGTATCTTACAGCAGAGCTGGGGAAGGCAGTCTAGCAATAGTTGGTGTTCTCCAAAGAATTCCAAATATCATCATCTGCCCTGTGAAGCAGTTAGCAGTTGTATCAAGGGTGAGTAACACCACACTCAACAAATGACCTTCCTGAGTCCCGGGGAACAAAGTCACTACTACTACAATGAAGCCCACTGCCTTGATTCGGTCTATATCCAATCTGTCAGCTCTTTCGACGTCTTTCCAAGCTCTTAGTTGACCTCTCCACCTCTATCTTCCTCTAAGAACACTCCTGTCTCACCAAAGCAGACACACTAGCCTGATTTATGCCCTTTTCTTCTTATTCCACCCAACAAGCCTGTCTGTTCTGGTCATTTTCCCAGGCTTCAGATCCCTCCAGTCCTGTCCTCCATCAACTCAACATATTTCAAGGCAAGTTCCAATCCGCTTAGAACCTGTCTTCCCAGCTATGAAACGAAGCTACTAACGCCTCAAAATGGGACGGGGCACAGAAAGAGAAGTGAACCGGGGCAGCCTAGAAAGTGTGTGCTTGGCTTGGGGGGTGAGGTGGCCCAGCAGACAAAAGGTTGTATGTCACCAAGCCTGACAACTTCTGAGCTCTATCCCCACGTGAAGGACAGAGAACAGACTCCCTGCAATTTATTCTCTGGACTGCTACATGGGTGGTTACATACAAAATAAATACAAGAAAAGTTGAAAGTGTGTGTGTGCTTTTGAATATAAGCATTTCTCCCAGTCTCCCCCACTGCACCCCACACACTGAGAATCCTGTTTGCAGAGTGCCAGGAGACACTCTAGCAGGGGGTGGAAGTGTGAGCTGGGCCCTTCTGTCTAGCAGTCTGCAGTAACACACAGTCCAGACTCTGAGATTGTATGGATTGAGTGCCAAACTGTATGAGCTTTGGGGAATCCTGGAAGAGGAATGAAATTTCTCCTCAGGCTCATCAAACATCTAGGCACGTGCAAGTCTGCTCTTTCGATTTCCTTTGGTCCTCTTGCCCGTTGTAATATTGTCACGGGGTGGGGTGGGGTGGGGGTGTTCGTGGTCAAAACTCAGGTTTCACTGGGATTTAAGGCTGAGTTCCGCTGTTCATTTTGTTTTTGGTCTTCTGTGGTGCTGGGGATGGAACCAGGGTGTCCTGCATGCTATGCAAGCGCTGTACCCTTGAGCCCCAGCCCCTGCCCTAGATTCATTCTAATAATCCTTGGGAAGGAGGAGAGTCTGAATTTGCAGGCAAGACCATCCTAAAGGAGTTGGGAAAGGAGATTGAAGCTGGGAAGCAAAGGCTGTTTGGTATACTGGGAAAACTGAAAGTTTGGAGAGAAGAATGATGGGAAATGAGAAACACAGTCCCTGAGGTGAGCCTACGTTTGGACTAAGATGTGTTGAATGAATCCGTGCGCATGATCGTGGCTTGTTTATGCATGAAGAGCATTTTCTGTGTGTTGTCCATTCTTCCAGGTCCCCAGTTCACCCACTCGCACCTCAAACTGAACAGCATGGCGGGGGTGGGTGGGGGAACCATACACCTTGAACTAAGAACCAGGAGCTACGCAGAAGCCTGGTGCCTTTACTGTAGTCCCCATCTGCGCTCACGCACCCTAGGCCAAAGGCAGGAGGGCATGGTAAACATGTTTTGCAAGAAGTGCAGGTTAGAGAGCAGAGTACAGGACTCAGGGACCCGAGGTTTACGCGTCCCTGCAAAAGGTAAATGGGAGGGGTCTTAGGACCGGGGCAGACTGGCAGGCTCAGCCAGTTTTAGGGCGCACGCAGTGGTGAGAACCCACCACCACCACCACTAAGGAGCGGGCGGTACCCAGATCGACTGAGCCTGGAAGAAAGGGGACGCCAGGAGCCGTGGGTCTCGAGTATATCTCCTACAAATCTTGTCTGCTGTGCGTGGTGGGGGGCGCGAAGGAGGGCGGGCGCCCTTCCCCGCCCCCGCCTCCGGCCCGCCCTCGGCCCCCGCCCCACCCCCGGCTCCGCCTCCACCCCGCCTCGCTCCGGCCGCGGCCCCTTCCTCCCGCAGCTGGTGCTGTGGGGCCGCGGAGCCGCACGTCGCTGTCTCTATGGCTCCGGATCCCAGCGCAAAGGTGAGGGAGGCGGGGAGTGCGGGCGGTGGCAGGGCCGGGGGCCGCGGTCGCGCAAAGCCTTGTCCACGTCCATTCCACCCTCCGAGCTAGGCCAGGCCTTTCTTACCGCCGAGACCCCCGGTCCCGCATACAGGGTTCTAGAGGGGCTAGGGCAGGCCTCGGGTCGCGCAGGGCGCAGACCCGCTTTTGCGGAGTCGGGGTCCGCAGCGGGGAAGGGACCCGCGTAGAGAACAATGTTCTCCCGGATCTGGGTCATGTCTCCTGGCGTCCGGCGGGATCGAAGGAGAGCTTGTCCTCGAGCTGCAGCAGTAGATACTGAGGTTAGATCTGATCAAAGGAGAGAACAGCGGACTGTCCAGGATGGTGGAGGGAGGGGAAGATGAGGGAGAGGCGCCTTCAAGCCAGGTGAGACCGCCATCCTACTGGGCAGAGGGAAATACTGCTAACCCCAGGCAGGTGGACATCAGGGATGAAGGTCGGGAGTCTATTGAACCTGTTGTTGGGGGAGCTCCTCCCCTCCCCAGTTTTCTCCACCCTAGGATCTAACAGAAGATGATCAGAGTTCAGCAGGCAGGCCCTGGGAAGGAACCCAAACTTGGAGTGAAGTATGGGGTGTGAACTGCAGACCTTGAACCCTCCTAGTGCTGGGGGAGGGGGTGGCATGCTCCACCACCACCCCTGCCCACTAACCCGGCCCTTCCGACAGGTTAAGTGGGAGCCTCAACGCTTCAGCCCAGCTCCCCTGATCTAGAACTGCAGTCGGGTCTGTAGGGGGAAAGAAGGCTGCTGAGGTAGCATTCCATCTTCCCTTCGCTAAATCTGAGGGCCTCTTCCTCTCTGGGTTAGTTATCCATTCTCCCTTTCAGACACTGCCCCCAGGTCAGAGGCCTCGAGACACACACACACACTCACACACACAGAGAGAGAGACAGAGACAGAGACAGAGAGACAGAGACACAGACAGAGGCAGAGAGAGACAGAGAGCTGGCTTTACAACCAGGACTTTCAGGAAAGATGTTAGGGTTGTCTCCTGTGCACCTCACCCCAGCAGACCCTGGCAGCCACCAAGCCTGCAGCAAAAGCCATACCCTTTATGCATTTCATGAGTGCTTGTCTCTGCCTGCGTGTAATTGTGTTTGAGGACTGGGAATACATGTGTGCACTGTGCCTGGCCCACTATCAACAACTGTGTGTGCATGCCCCTGTACAAATGTGTGTGGACAAGAAACTCCTGTTGGATAGGAAGCAATGTGTGTAGCCTGGCTTGTTCACCTCTGAGGATTTGGGAACCACTGTTGGGTGGCATGGAAGCACAACCTTGTGTGTATGTGTTACTTTGTGTGGCCTTGGCCCTTTGTGTGCACAACCTTATGTGTGTGTGTTACTTTGTGTGGCCTTGGCCCTTTGTGTGAACATACTTTTGCTAAGCCTCTGTACGGGTGTGTACATGACTCTTGTAAATACATGTGCTCTCCAGCCTACACGAACATGTGTGCACACTTGTGAGTAAGTGTGTCACGCTCTTCGGGAACTACATGACTCAAAAGAAATGCACAGCTGTGCCCATGCACTCCACACTGAGTGGTTCCTCTGATCTGGGATGTGTTCTTCCTGCCTGAGCTTTAGCACTAATTTCCAGTTCAGCTAGCCCTAGGCTCCCCTTCTGTGCTGAGCAAATAGGAGGCCCCAAATGTAAACAGGTGTGCCTTCACAGCCAGGTGGAGCTCAGGTACCCTGAAACTTCCTGTTCGCCCCAGCTGTCAAAACAAGAGCTTGAGGCCCTGTCTGTGGTTCAGACGCCCCCTTATACTCTCCCTGTCATGACAGGCTAACTTTTAACTCCTGAACAGACCCTCCAAATTCCTGCTGTTTCTCTGCTTAGCTCCAGATCCCTCCCCTTTCTTTAAGGCCATATAGTTAATATTTGACCCAGAAGGAAAAGGAGAGGCTGGTGACACCCTCTGACCCTGCCTATGGGTGTCTGATGACATTGGGTGGATCAGGCTTCTTCCACACCTTGCCCAGTCCAGGAAATCTTTGGAAGTCCCCCAGAGATAAGAGGAAGGCCATATCACCCACCTCCACCTCAGCTATGGCACTAAAGGTGGCCAGGAGTCTCAGAATCCCATTGTTTACTGTCTCGACATTGCTTAGGTCTTAGCTGGTCTCGCACACCCTGCAGTCTCCTGCACAGACACTACACCAGTGCAGATCAGGGGCCTGGATGCCTGCACCCCGCTCCACCCTCTCCCACTTGCCGCCTGCCAGCAGGTAGCGACTCGTGTAGATGCCCAGCCAGAGGGTGCAGTATGGACTCTCATGGGCAGGGCAGAGATGTGCACCCCCTCAGAGAAAATGCCAAAGAGAGTGTCTAATTAAAGAGAAATTCCAAAGGGAGCTCGCAGGCCAATGGGAAAGAAAAAACAAAGGAAAACAGGACAAGACTAACAAAGGCCCATTAACTGACTCTGCCCAGGCCTTCCTGCTGAAGCACCCCCGCAGGCAGTGCGGCTGGAGGAACAGGCCAATCTGAGAGCCAACGCTCGCTCTACCAAGATGGCCCCAAGCAGTCTTCTGACTGGGCGAGGGCTGTTACCATGGGTATTGGTTAAAGCTAGTCTAGGGTCTTACAGTAACTTCACCACAGCCTTCTTTACCAGAGCAGAAATGAACCGAATGTCTGTGAGTCTGTCCTGATGAGGGAGTTCTTTCAGGGCCCCTGAAGTCTGGGCAATGCCATGCATCTTCCACACAGATCAAAGAGATTTCCATTAGAGGGATTTTGATTTTTTTTGTTTGTTTGTTTCCTCCTCCAGAAATCAGAGAGAAACTGGAACTCCCCTCCACACCCTCAGTTGGGGGCAAGGTGACCCCTTCAGTTACCTACAACTTTGCTGGGACCCTCCAATGCCCACTCTCCATGGAGTTTGCCTTCGATGCAGAAAAGCACGTGACCCGCCCATCTGTCCCTCTGACTTCTGAGCTGTGATTCCATGGCCACACAACCTTGTGGCTCCATGTCTCCCCCATTCCAGGATCCTCCGTGGCCCCATGACGACTTGATCCCTATGGCCTCATGACCCCTGACCTTCCATGTGATCACGGCCTGGCCTTTGACCCCAGCGATTGCTCTTTCCCTCCAGTCCTGTGACTCTGGCCCCGGCTGCCTTTGGGGTCTGGTTGGTCTGAACTTCCCCAGGAAGATGTGGGGGAGGCTTGGGCCCCTCCTCTTCAGTTTCCTCACAGTAACAGCAGTCCCTGGACCCTCACTACGGAGACCGTCCCGAGAGCTAGATGCCACCCCACGGATGACCATCTCCTATGAAGGTTAGAGTCCCCAACCTTGCAAGGCTATGTCTACCAGAGCTGGGGGTAGGAAGCAACCCCCCCAGATGGCTCTCTGCCTCTCTTGTTCCCAGAGCTCTCCCAGATCCGGCACTTCAAGGGCCAAGCCCAGAACTATTCAACACTCCTGCTGGAGGAGGCTTCCGAAAGGCTGCTGGTGGGGGCCCGAGGCGCCCTGTTCTCTCTCAGTGCCCGTGACATAGGAGATGGGGCTCACAAGCAGGTCAGCCCCTGGCATCTGGACCAGCCATGGGGGCTTCAGCTTCCTGGCACCTCAGTTCCTTTCCCAGCCTTCCAGTCTCTGAGCGGCACTGTCTTTTCCAGCCCACTGCTCTCCAGTTTGTCCGGCACTCCGGAGCCCACTGTTTGCTCCTCCGGGTAGTGGATATTGAGGTCAATACTGCAGTCTGTTCCTTTGTTCTCCCCAGATCCACTGGGAGGCCTCCCCAGAGATGCAGAGCAAGTGTCATCAGAAAGGGAAGAACAACCAGGTATGTGATCATGTGATCGGCCCTGCGCCGTTCTCCTTTCTTCTCCTAACCCGGGTGCCAGAATTGGGAGGGACGCACGTGGAGTGTCACAGATGTGCAGCCAGCTACACAACCACGATGAACATTAGGAAAGACAGGCCTGGCTTGTCACAGTATCTTAGTCCCCCGCCTGGGGGACGGATCTCAAATTACCATCATAACAATAAGTGTCTGCTAATAAGTAACAACGAGGTCTAATTCTAAAACAATCTTATGATGCATTATAATTCCCATTTCACATATAGGAAAAATGAGACTTTGCTGGAATGCTTGTCCAAGTACCTCGTGTTCGTGGAGGGACTTTAGCCAAGCATTAGTCCTTTCTAGCTAAAAAGCAGGGTGTCTCCAGAGAGGGGGGGTCATGTCTGGCTATGTTCAGCCATTTGGAGAGCCTTCTATATTTATTTACTGATTTTTTTTTGATACAGGGTCTCAGTATGTAGCCTTGGCTGAACTGGACTTTAGTATGTAGACCCGGCTGGCCTCAAACTCATAGAGATCCGCCTGCCTCTGCCTCCCGAGTGCTGGGATTAAAGGCGTGCAGCACCACACCTAGCTAGAGAGCTTTTTAAGAATATACATTCTTGAACCAGCGACATGGCTCAGCAGGCTAAGGTACTTGCCACCAGGGCTTGACAACCCACATAGTGAAAGGAGAGACAAGTTGTCTTCTGATCTTCTTTCTAATGTGTACCACAGCATAGGCATACACACGCACACATGAAATAAGTAGATAAAAAAAAACCTAACACATTCCAATCGAGTTATGGTAGCATATGTCTGTAAACCCAGTCCTTGGGAGGCTGAGGCTACACACACAGAGAGAGAGAGAGAGAGAGAGAGGGAGGGAGGAGAGAGGGAGGGAGGGAGGGAGGGAGGGAGGGAGGGTGGGTACACATTTACACTGGGCATCGTTGTGGTGCATGCCAATGATCCCAACCCTTGGAAGACAGATGAAAGGATTGGGAGTTCAAAGAAAGCCTTGGCCCAGAACAAGTTTGAGGTTAGCCTGGGCTATGAGATTTTGTCTCAAAACAAAAGAGAAATAGCTCAGTCCACCAACCTAGAGACTCTGAACTGCCTGTCAGAGGCTGCCTCAGTGCATTGTGGTTAATAAACAGAGCTGGTGGGGCAGGTGAACCCAGATCATAAATGCCCAACGGAGGGTCTGGGCTTCATTGTGACGATGACAGTCGTACTGTTTGTTGCCTTGGAGGCCCTCATACATGAGTCATAGGTTCCAGATCAGTAGGTCTGGAAAGGGCCCAAGGTGTTGCTGCTCAAGAACAGCCATCTGAAGCTGCTGTCTCTGGTTTCCAGACGACTTTGGGCAGCAAAGTGTCAGAGAATGTCCCAAAGCATCGTCCTGAAGGGCATTCATTTTCAAAGGAGGAACTGAGCGGTCCAGTATGTTTGCAAAGGCCAGCATTCCCATGTCACAGTGCACAGTGACATCCTTAAGGCTCGGAGAAGTCGCCCAGTAAAGATACATGTGTCTGCTTTCCAAGCTCACCGTTCCAAACTGCCCTTCATCTGTCTTAGGCAGTGACTCTAGGGATGTTTGTCTTGTCCCACATGCCAGGTGGATTAAAATAGACTGAGTCTAGAGACAGGAAGAAGAGTGGAAAGTTTGGGCATCCTAGGGGTTAGAAAGAAGGCCTGATCAGGCTGACAAGGACAGACACAGATGACGGCTCCAGCAGGTAACCGAGTAAGTGGAGATAGGAGTCCTCCATGGATTCAAACTCTGGGTAACAAACAGGAGGATGAGGGAGGAGAACCAGACAGTTGCTTAGGGCACCTGAGGGGTGCAGAGAAAGCCAGTGTGGCTGGAGATGGAGGGAGCAGTTGGGGCCTGGGGGACTGTGTGTTCAGAGCATCAGGAGCTCTACCATGCCATGGTCTGGTTTACATCCGTGGTGCTTTGGGAGAGGGTGTTGACAGGTGGATCTCTGAACAGAAACTTCAGACATGGGGTCTGCGGTCTCCTTCTCAGGCCACCTCGCAGGGAGACAGGAATACACGAGAGGCTGTTGACAACAGACCTCCTTGTGCTGTTTGAATTTTACTTCTGGAGTGTCCCTCACTCACTGAGTAAACGTTGTTCCGAGTAGCATAGCAGGTTGGAAGGGGGTCAGGTGGCCACTAGAGTTGTCCAAGAAGGAGGTGAGGGTTATTTGTGCTGGATGAGAACAGTGACGCGGGCCAAGGTCGAGAACCACTTGGCGCAGTGAATCATGGAGAGGGACTGGATGTGGGGTGAGGGGAGGAAGCAGGCACGATGCTTCTGGACCAGAGCCAGGTGGATGCGGGGTGAGGGGGAAAGACTGGATAAGCAGGGTTAAGACAGAAGATTTAAGCTGGGCAGTGGTGGTGCACACCTTTAATCCCAGCACTCGGGAGGCAGAGGCAGGCGGATCTCTGTGAGTTCGAGGCCAGCCTGGTCTACAAAGTGAGTTCCAGGACAGCCTCCAAAGCCACAGAGAAACCCTGTCTCGAAAAACCAAAAAAAAAAAAAAAAAAAGGGAAGATTTGTGTCAGGAAGGATGGGAGTTTGCTCACTCTTGGACATAGTGAGATTGACATTGCTTGCGAGACAACAGAGAGAGAGAGTCAGGGTTTGTGGGAGCTTCAAGGTTAGGGAGGAGGAGCATTGCTTAAAAGTAACTCTTGAGTTGAGTAATGGTGGCACACGCCTTTAATCCCAGCACTTGAGAGACAGAGGCAGGCAGATCTCTGTCAGTTCAAGGCCAGCCTGGCTACAGAGTGAGTTACAGGACAGCCAGGACTGTTACTCAGAGAAACCCTGTCTCCAAAAAAAGTAACTTTTGAGCAGGTGTCATGCTGTCATTCTCCAGAGCTGTTTCTCTGTCCTTGAGTGCCAATGCCAGAAGGGTAGGTGGAGGGACTGCAGGTAACAGATATAGGGAAGCTGGCAGGGTGGGGGCAGGTAATCTGAGGCATCTTGGAAAGTATCTCCTGTAGGTGGGGGGCAGGAATCAGACTGCAAAGCCTGACTAACAGAGGTGGCTTATATCCAGGCAGAGGACTTATATCACTGCCTCCCTTTGTCCATAGACGGAGTGTTTCAACCACGTGCGGTTCCTACAGCGGCTCAATGCCACCCACTTTTATGCATGCGGGACACACGCCTTCCAGCCTCTCTGTGCAGCCATTGTGAGTAACCCTGCCCCTAGCCCTGACTGCTAACCCCAGACTGGCCTGCCCTCGCATGTCTTCAGGACCATTGACTGATCGGGACCCTCATTCTCCAGGATGCTGAGGCCTTCATCTTGCCTACTAGCTTCGAGGAGGGAAAGGAGAAGTGTCCTTATGACCCAGCCCGCGGCTTCACAGGCCTTATCATCGGTGAGCAGGCATTCCTGCTACCAGTCCTCGTCCACAAGAATGCTATGATCTGAATGTGGATCTTGTTGCTAGGATTCGCCATTTATGCATGCCATGTTCCCTATTGTACATGACATGTATCTCATGTCTGGGTGTCCCTGCCTCAGATGGAGGCCTCTACACAGCTACACGGTATGAATTCCGGAGCATCCCTGACATCCGCCGGAGCCGCCACCCACACTCTCTGAGAACTGAGGAGGCACCCATGCACTGGCTCAATGGTTAGGAGGGTGTGGCCCGGGATGGTGGGGGTGGGGTCTATTTCATATTGTTACTCCCTTGGGCAGATGACCATCCTATTCCCAAGTCTCCAGGTGAGCCTGTGTATTATGGAGGGAGAGGGAGGGGCGTGGCTAGGGAGAGGTCTCAGTCCGTTTCATAAGCCTCCCGAATACTCAACCCACAGATGCTGAGTTTGTATTCTCTGTGCTGGTGCGGGAGAGCAAGGCCAGTGCCATGGGTGACGATGACAAGATTTACTACTTCTTCATGGAACGTGAAGAAGGTTCTAGCAGCTTCACGCAGAGCCGCAGCAGCCACCGTGTGGCTAGAGTAGCCCGTGTGTGCAAGGTGCCTATGACGAAGTTAGGGCACGGGGAGAGGCTAGACCTCTGACCCTGACCCTGTGTCCTGCCTCCTCAGGGGGATCTGGGAGGAAAAAAGATCCTGCAGAAGAAGTGGACGTCCTTCCTGAAGGCTCGTCTCATCTGCCACATTCCGCAGTATGAGACACTCCGTGGCGTCTGCAGCCTGGATGCTGATACGTCGGCCCACACACACTTCTATGCAGTCTTCACACTGACTACACAGTGGTAAGCTCAGGGGTGCTGGGAAAGGAGGGGACCTGAGGAAATTAAGGGCTGGAGCTGAGATATGATCTGCTAGCAAGAGGGCTGGGTGTAAAATGAAGTGTCGAGGCGTGTCAAGCTATCCTAGGGCCAGAGGGCATTGAGAGCCACTGATGCACAAGGCAGGCCCATAGGCCTGAGGTGGAGCTGGACCGCAGGCTCCGATTAGTGTGAGTAAGTCCTCCCCTATGCCCCCTTCCTAGGAAGACCCTGGAGGCTTCAGCCATCTGCCGCTACGACCTGGCTGAGATGCAGGCTGTCTTCACAGGCCCCTTCATGGAGTACCAGGATGGTGCCCGGCGTTGGGGCCGCTATGAGGGTGGGGTGCCTGAACCCCGGCCTGGCTCGGTGAGCACTCAGGCCTGGAGCCTCTGCTGAGTAGACAAAGCCCCGGGGAGGGCAGGAAGGTGGTGGAGTCCTGAGACTGACCACCTCCCCCCACCCAGTGCATCACAGATTCATTGCGCAGCCAAGGCTACAACTCATCCCGAGACTTGCCATCCCTGGTCCTGGACTTTGTGAAGTTGCACCCACTGATGGCTCGGCCTGTGGTGCCCACACGTGCGCGGCCCCTGCTGCTGAAGCGCAATGTACGCTACACACGTCTCACGGGAACACACGTCCGCACGCCTGCTGGACCCACCTATGACCTGCTCTTTCTGGGCACAGGTGCTTCTGACCCAAATCCCTGATTTCCCTGATGGCCTTGGTTATCAGTGCATCTGAACACAGTAGTGCCTACCACACTGGCCTGGAACGCCCAGTGTCCTGAGGGACCGCCGCTGGTGGCTGCCTCCTCGTCCCTAACCTTACGGTTCCTGAGCTATTCCCATTATGCCTCCTGCGGGGTATGAGGACAGATCACACTGTTGGGTTCTGACTTTTGCCCATTGTCCATCAGCTGATGGCTGGATCCACAAGGCCGTAGTCCTGAGCGCTGGGATGCACATTATCGAAGAGATCCAAGTGTTCAGGGAGCCCCAGTCTGTGGACAATCTAGTCATCTCTCCCATGCAGGTAGACCTGACTTCCGGTCTCAATATGCTAACAGAGAAGCGGACTGGGGAGGCTGGGTTGAGACTGGGGGGGGGCGGGGGAGGCTACTGACCGACTGTCCACTCTGGTTCCAGCACAGCCTCTATGTGGGAGCTGCTAGTGGAGTCATCCAGTTTCCGCTGTCCAGCTGTTCACGCTACCGTTCCTGCTATGACTGCATCCTGGCTCGGGACCCCTACTGTGGCTGGGACTCCAGCACCCAGGCCTGCATGGTGGCCACCACCGTAGCCAACAGGTCCCAGGGTAGAGGTTGGAAGTAGGGATGGGGTATATGTGTCCTCAATGGAGAACAAAAGCCCACCGACCCATAAGGGATGTGCGCTGTTATTGGTAATCCTGCTACATATTTCTTCTTGTTCGTGAATCTTGATTTCCTGTCCCCAGGACGGCACTGGTACAGGACATAGAGAGAGGAAACCGAGGCTGTGAGGGCAGCAGGGATACAGGTAAGTGGAATTCATAGACTTAGGTGGATATTTCTGAGTGGCTGGGTTTGTGTGGCTTTGGTAAGGATGGCCCAGCACAGGGTGAGTGCTCAGTGGATGCTTATTTCCCAACTAAACTGTAAATGAGGGAACAGGCTGGAGCCTTGGAGACAAGTGGGGATGTAACTCATTGGCAGAGAGCTCTTCTTGCCTGACATGTGGGTTACTCTCTAGCAACACACAGAGACAGAAATAGACACAGAGAGAGATGGGGTGGAGTTAGTGAGTTAGTTAGGGTTTTATGATCACATCTAAAGAATATACCTGGCTAGGCAATGGTGGTTCACACCTTTATTTAATTCCAGCATTCAGGAGGCAGAGGCAGATGGAGCTCTGTGAGTTCAAAGCCAGCCTGATCTACAGAGCAAGTTCCAGGACAGCCAGAGCTGTTACACAGAGAAACCCTGTCTCAAAAAAACAAAATAAATAAAGTATGTGCCTAAGTGGTGGGGAATATAATTACAAATAACTAAATTATTAATAATTGTAACTACAATGAGGTGCAGAATGGTAATGTGTTTTTTTCCCAAAAAAGATCGTGTAGCAAAACTGGTATCAGAAGGAATAAAAAAAGAGTCAGTTATCAGAGCTGAGCACTTTCGTGCCAAGCACTGATCTAAATACGTCCATGTGTCTATTCTCACAGCACTCTACATGAGAGGCACCATTGTCATCCCCATGAGGGACATCCCCTCTGAGGCCTGGGGAATATAAGGAGACTGTCCATGGTTACCCAGTTACAAGGTGGCAGGGTCAGAGTCAACCCTGCCTGAAGCAGCTGGATTCAAGTTTGTGCTTTTGAGTGAAACTGTGCCATGTCCAAGCTAGCCAAGCAGGGGTTGGGGCTATGAGTAGGGCAATGACACTCAAGTGGCAGGATCAGTAGGAGGAGAGAGCTCAGGAGGAAGAGACTGGAGAGGTGAGCAGGGCTTGTGGACAGTTTTGATCCTTATATGAAAAGCAACAGGAAACCTCTGCAGAGTTTTACACCAAGGAATAATCTGATCAGAGTCGTATCGTTAAAAGTTTTTTTGCTGTTTATTTATTTGGTTTTTCAAGTCAGAGTTTCTCTGTGTAGCCCTGGCTGTCCTGGAACTCACTCTGTAGACCAGGTTGACCTCAAACTCAGAACTCAGATCAGATCCGCCTGCCTCTGCCTCCCGAGTGCTGGGATTAAAGGCGTGTGCCACCACTGCCTGGCTTAGTAAACATTTAAAAATATTTTACATACTTATTTATTTAGTTTTTGGTTTTTTGAGACAGGGTTTCTCTTTATTGTTTTGGAGGCTGTCCTGGAACTCACTTTGTAGACCAGGCTGGCCTCAAACTCACAGCGATCTGCCTGCCTCTGCCTCCTGAGTGCTGGGATTAAAGGCATGTGCATTTTGTCTGCATCTCTGTATGTGAACTGTGTGCATGCCTGGTGCCTGGAAGTTAGAAGAGAGTATTCCATTCTCTGGACCTACAGTTCTGGGTGTTCGTGAGCCACCTTGTGGACGCCGGGACCAAACTCAGGCCCTTGGCAGCAAGGGCAACAAGTGCTCTTAACCACTGAGCCATCTCTCCAGCCCTAGTATTAAAAATGTTTAAACTACATGTAGTTTGCTCACAAGTATGTGTGGGATGTGGATGTGTGAGACATCTTAGGGGAGTCGGTTTTCTCCTTCGTACATGTGGGTCTCAGGGATTGAACTCAGCTGTCAAGCCTGGCAGCAAACACCTATACTCACTGATCTCTCCTCAGTCTAGATTTGTGTTTTCAAGGGATCAGCCATAGTAGCAGAGAGCAGAGACTGAATGAGGGCGCTGGAGGGCAGGCAGCCATGGAAGGAGAGAATGAACAGGTCTGAGAGGTTCATGAGGGTAGACATGAGGAAGAGATGCACGGGAGACTCCCGGGTCCTGAAGCACAGCGCTGGTGGTCACAATTCAAAGCAAGGATCTGGTGGCTGACGAATAGGCTTTTGGGCTTGGTGAGATTCCCAGCACACGGCACGCATTCGAGTCTGGTGTTCCCGAAAGGAAGCTGTGCTGAAGGTAAAGATTAGGAGACTCTGTTAGAAGGCAGGCACTGAAATCACAGGGCAGAGGAGCGTAGAGGAGCCAAGGCCGGAGACGCTGCCTGCTTCCTAGGAAGGGCCAGGGTGCGCCCTGGGGAGCATGTGCTCACAGGCTTGCTCACCTGTCACCGACTCCAGACTCGGTGCCTGGTGCCAAGGATTTAGCTGTCTACCATCTTGCCATTTCCAGTGCTGGGATGGGCAGATGTTCATCTTTCCTCTTCCATCCTCCCCAGGACCGCCACCACCACTCAAGACCCGCTCTGTGCTCCGGGGTGATGATGTCCTCCTGCCCTGTGACCAGCCATCTAACCTGGCCCGAGCTTTGTGGCTACTCAACGGGAGCAGGAGCCTGAGTGACGGGCAGGATGGCTACCGAGTGGGGGTGGATGGGCTGCTGGTGACAGACACACGGCTGGAGCACAGCGGCCACTATGGCTGCTACGCTGAGGAGAATGGTCTCCGCACACTGCTGGCTTCCTACCGCCTCACAGTCCGCCCGGCCACCCCTGCCCCAGCTCCACAAGCCCCCGCCACGCCAGGGGCACAGCTGGCACACGACATGAGGTTGTTCTATGTGGCAGCCATCGCTATACTCGGTGGCCTCTGCCTCATCCTGGCGACTTCCCTCCTCTATGTGGCCTGTCTGAAGGGAGGCAGACGAGGTCCAAGGCGAAAATACTCATTAGCTCGGGCTGGCCGGGCAGGGGGCTCAGCCGTGCAGCTGCAGACAGTCTCAGGCCAGTGTCCTGGAGAGGAGGATGAAGGTGACGATGGGGAGGGGGCTGGGGGCCTGGAGAGCGGCTGCCTCCAGATCATCCCTGGGGAAGGAGCCCCAGCCCCACCCCCTCCACCGCCACCGCCACCCCCGGCCGAGCTGACCAATGGGTTGGTGGCGCTGCCCAGCCGGCTCCGGAGGATGAATGGCAACAGCTACATGCTCCTGAGGCAGAGCAACAATGGAGCGCCAGCCGGACCCTGCTCCTTTGCAGAGGAGCTCAGCCGCATCCTGGAGAAGAGGAAGCACACACAGCTTGTGGAGCAGCTAGATGAGAGCTCTGTCTGAGCCCAGCTTCCCAAGCCAATGCCCTTCCAAGCCAGCCTGCCTGCCCCGGGCTGGGCCTCTGCCTCCCCAACACAGCCACCCCCCTTCATGCTCCCGACTCCATTCCCCTCTTCCAACTTTTTGATGTCTCTGTAGGGCTGGCCAGAGCCATGGTTAGCCAACCCCCCCTCTTCAGTCTCCAAGGCACACACGTGAGCAGCCCAGGCCTACCGGTGCTCCTCAAAGGTAGGTGCTCCCTCAGGACCAAGTACTCCGCAAACCCAGTTTCCAGCCCTTAACCAGAGGCTCGGGAGGAGGACTGTCCTCTTAACCCATTAGCTGTCCACCCTTCCTCTCTCCCCAGGCAGGGCTCTGCAGGTCCAGATGGCCTCAATGTCACCACCCTCCGCACAGCTCTGTGTGCTGGGTAGCCCCGAATCCAGACAAGACCTCTCTCTCTACCAGCCACCCGAGTCCTGCTTACATTCGCATGTGCACATGGGAGAATGCTTGTCAGCTGGGCTGGTGTCCCCCTCCCCCTCCTCCTCTTGGTGCATCCTAGTTTCATTCCTCCTAGACCCGGGGCCCCTCCCAGCTGTCACCTTCCTGTCTAGTCCTCTTTCCAGTCCCAGCCCCATGTGGCAACCCTTGGCAGGAAGACTGGGGATAGGCCAGTCTGGGCGGTAAGAAACATACATCCCTCCCCCCCCGTAGCTCTTGTGAGTCAGCCTACCCTCTCCTCTTCACTCCCATGCAGGAGTGCCAATGCTCCAGGCATGTGCGTCCCCCATGCATATGTGGTAACACACCCGTGTCATCTGCTTACATCTCCGCCCACATGCACACTCGGGACCTCCCTGTGCTGCCTCAGTCAGACCTGTGTCTACTAGGTTTGGTCCATGGATATTTCAAAGGGAGATTTCCCCTGCCATTTAGCTGTCCTCACAAAACTAGGACACGTGACCACCACTGCACTCAATGAGCCAGCCTCCCTCTTAGGGACCAAGCGATTGCTTCTCCTAGGCCAGAGCAGGGGGAAGCGATTGGTCATCTCACCTGGCACATGAAGCCCGTTCTTGGAACTATGCAAAGGGCAGAGGCTGGGAGTCTGGGTGCTTGGCTCCCATTCCTGTCCTACCTCACCAGGGCATTTTCAAGGTCCAAGGCCTCAGATGTCTCCAGGCCCATATGGGACAATCAACCCTGACTGAGCTCTCCCAGCCCCCTTGGGTGAGGATGACTGTTATTTTTGTAGCTGAGAACGTGGAACCCCACGAGTTTTTACTGCCCCTCACCCATGCCTCTCCCACCCCCACCCCCACTGAATGTATTTATTGTGAGAATGGCTGTACTTCTTCAGGAATGCCCCCCACTCATCACCTAGGTGGGTGGATCAGGCATGTGATGGAATGGGGAGCCTGGGCTCTGCTTCCCGTCATGCTGGTTAATAAAAGCCCTCTTTCCCACAGCTGTGAGTGTCTGCTTGGTCTAGACTGGCTTTACCAGGGACAGGTTTCTGGCTGATAGAGAAGGTGCTGCAGAGATTTCCTCATCTTGGATGGCTTTGCTCCCCATAAAAATATTTACATAGGCAATGAGATCCTCCACGCCTGCTCATTGAACTGGGCAGGCACAGGGGCCACTCACTGGCTAAGGCTCATATATTAATCACTGGTGATGAGGGTGACAGGATCCCGGCAGCTCAAGAACTCACAGGAATTGCTGGCTACTCTCTTCCTCTGGCTGGTTTCAGGTAGGAATCTCACTGGTGCTCCTAGGTTAAAATGTCCTGGCGATGTGGACTACAGATGCCCGTCACACCCAGCTTGTTCGTGTGCACGCACATGCACAGGATATGTGTGGAGGTCAGAGAACACCTCAGGAAATGTGGGCTGCTGCTTCAACTCTGTGAGCTCTGGTGCTCAAACTCAGCTTGTCAGTGATTGTCTCTACCCACTGAGCCATCTGGCCAGCCCTGCCCTTTTCTTTCTTAAAGACTTGGTCTCTCTATGTAGCCCTGGCTGCTCTGGGACCCTCTATATAGACTAGGCTGGCCTTGAACTCATCCTTCTGGCTGCTTCTGCCTTCTGAGTGCTGGTGATTAAAAGCTGTGCCACTAGACCAAGGCCCTTCCCGGCCCCGCCCGGCCCCGCCCCGCCCCTTTATGTGTCTGGGTGTTTTGTCTGTGTACCACCAGCGTGTCTGATGCCCTCAGAGACCAGGAAAGCCATCCCCTGGAACTAGAGTTACCGACAGTTGTAGGTTACCATGTGGATGCTGGGAATTGAGCCTGAGCCTCTAGAGGGCCAGAAAATGCTCTTAATCCCTAGTCGCTGCCTTGTTTAGGCCTGGAAGACTCTTCTGGCTGCCTTGTGCTTGCCCCTAACAAGCTGTTCAGCACACTTCCCAGTCCTTGATCAGGGAAAGAGACAGGCTCATTTCTGTACCAAGAATTTTGGGTAGGAGTGCAGTTAGAACTACATCAAGCTTTGTTATCTGGAAACTGCTCTGCCTTTGACACTAACCACTGAAAGGTTTTATGCTATTTCTGGTTTTAGAATTAAAATAGGGTTTATGCTTAAAATATGCACACATTTTGAGGTGGGCATAGTGGTGTACACCCTTAGTCACAGCACTTGGGAGGCAGAGGCAGGTGGCCTACATAGAGAGTTTCTGGACAGCTGGAGCCCCCATGGTGAGACTCTGTCTTGAAAAGAAAAATCACATTTTTTTTTTTTCGAGACAGGGTTTCTCTGTATTGTTTTGGAGGCTGTCCTGGAACTCACTCTGTAGACCGGGTTGGCCTCGAACTCACAGAGATCCACCTGCCTCTGCCTCCCCAGTGCTGGAATTAAAGGCATGTGCCACCAATGCCCAGCTGAAAAATCGCATTTTTGAAGCATGACCTCGAGGGGCTGAGAAATGGCTCAGGTAGAGCATTGGCTGCTTTCAGAAGATCCAGGTTCAATTCCCAGAGCCTACAAGTCACAACTGTCTGTAACTCCAGTTCCAGGGGCCTTCCACCGAACTCCAGCCTCCAGGGGTACTGCATGCACAGACACACAAGCAGGTAAAACACACATGACAAATAAATAAATCTCCAAACGCAGTCTCGGGTACGTTTAATGACTTCAGTTTTCTAATCTGCACACAAACACTCACAGACACACGGTGCCTTGCCCAATGTCAGGCCCCAGCAAGAGCAACAGGACATCGCGAGTTCTTCAGAGGGCAGCCTCTAGACCGTGCACTGTGTTTTGAAATCAGTTGTCATTGGGATTCCAGAAAACAAGGACCCTGTACATCTCGGCTTGCAAAGAGGCCAACGGAACCAGAATTAGGGTGTTGGCAAGGTCACGGTACCTAGCAGTGGGCAATCGCAGTCAGCTCTCCTTTATCCCGGGCCACGCCCCCGCCGGTGGGCTCCAATCATTTGCCTGCGCTTGACATCCGCAAGAGGACCCCATTTCCTCGCGCTCTTTACCGTGCCTGTGCCGAAGCGGGGTCCTCGCGTTCTCTGGGCCGCAGCCCGCGGGGGGCCGTCCGTCTGTTGGTGAAGGGGTGCCACTGGCCCTGGATGCTAGGGTTGTCCGTGTGGAAGGGCTTGCGGATGCGGATCACATCCAAACCGGACTGGTCGGCCAGCTTCTGCACCAGCGACGTGATCTCCTCCGCCGACTTGCTGTTGACGTTCTCCTCGCGCACGGCCCCGTTAACTGGCAGAGGGACGTGGGGATGAGCGGGAAGTCCGAGGCCACACACGGGGAGAAGCCGGCGGGCGAGCCGGGACCCCGCCCTCCCGCAGCCCCACTCACGGTACTCGGCCACTATCCTGGGCACGGCGCACGGCCGCGGGTTCACGTAGATCACGACCCCCGGGTTGCGCCGGGCGAAGTCGGTCACTTGGCGTTCCACGAACTCCCTGCGAGGCCCGGCGAAGGTGTGAGCACGCTGACCCGGACCCAGTCGCGTCGTTTCCCGCCCCCTCACCCCGGTCCTCCCGCTTGCGCGGGCCTCACCTGGCACCGCGGGACGAGGGCGCATCCCGGCTGAGGCTGAGGCTGAGGCGCTGCAGCTGCTGCACGTAGCGACCCACCCCGTTGTGGAGGACGCTCGTCAGGAAGCGGCTCGGAGTCCCGCGCGCAGTCATGGCGACCGGACGGTGAGCGGGAGGGCGGGGGCCAACCAGCGACTTCCGGTTCCGGGTTCGCGGGCTCCGCGGAGAGTTTTGCTTCCGAGGGCACAGCGAGTGGCGCGTGCGGGCGACCCACGCTGCGGGCGAGAAGAGTAGAAAGTTGAGGTGACGCACAGCTGGAGGCGGTGGCGTGGAGCTCCCGGAGCGCAGGGTAGAGCCCGGGAGGCAGTGACAGGGCCGGGCCGCAGCTCGTGAGCTCCGGATGTGTGGAGGGTCCCTGTGAGCGCTGCGAGCCGAGGAGGGCGCTTGGGAGTGGGCTGGGCTTCAGGCTGCATGCAGAGGGGTGTGCAGATGAGGACGGCGAGGACGGGCCGTGGAGGGGTGGTAGAGGTGAGGAGATGATGCAGAGGCGCCGTTTGGATCGAGGGGCCGTGCAGGGTCCTAGACGTGAGCTGGTGGAGAGCGGCTGTGAGGGACGCGGCCGTGGAAGGGTCGTGCGTGGACCGACAGAGGCGCGAAGCTGCCATGTTTACACAGCGAAGGGGATTAGGCCGGGTGTTCGTAAGGGAGAAGCTGGAGGAGAGATAGAGAGGAGCCTGCTGTAGTGAGCCCTGCGGGGTGCCCTGTGGAAGGCTCTTCGGGTCTGGCCTAGTGAAGGCACCAAACCCAGACACCAGCACTTACTGCCGTAGAGGCAGCCCACTCCGTCAGGAATGTGGCTCCTCCGATGCGCGCACCCCGTCCGGATCTTGCTGCCGCTGCGAGGGGAGTGGATGGGCCGGAGGGGCCTGCCCCGAAGCTTGACTCCAGGCCCCCCTCGCAGAAGGTACAGAAAGGAAGCCCTCCCGGCCTTAGAGGAGCCTGTGTCGCCTGTGACCACAACTGAAATCCGCCAGTATCTACGGACGCATGGGATACCGTTCCACGATGGCCACAGTTGTCTTCGGGCACCAAGCCCCTTTGTGGGGTTCTCAGACTTCAGCAATCTGAAGAAGGATTCTCCCACTTCCTTCTGCCTCTTCATTGACAAGACCACAGGACACTTTCTCTGCATGACTAGCCTAGCAGAAGGGAGCTGGGAAGACTTCCAGGCCAGTGTGGAGGGACGAGGGGATGGAGCGAAAGAGGGAATCCTGCTTACTGAGAGCCCGGAAGCTGCGGACAGGGAGCAGGTCCTGAGAATCTGGAACCGAGCCATACCTCTTTGGGAGCTGCCTGACCCTGAGGAGGCCAAGCTGGCACGTGTGATGTTTGACCTTACCAAGGTGACAGATGACACACTCAAGAGGTTCAGTGTCCGTTATCTTCGCTCTACTCGAAGTTTGGTCTTCCCTTGGTTCACCCCTGGGGGCTCAGGATTACGTGGCCTGAAGCTGCTAGGGGCTGAAGGTCAGGGGAATGAAGTCCAGTATGTGGAGACCACCATTCCCCGGCCTGGCGCCTACCACAACCTATTCGGGTTACCACTGATCAGCCGTCGAGATGCTGAGGTGGTCCTGACAAGCCGTGAGCTGGACAGCCTGGCCTTGAGCCAGTCCACAGGGCTGCCCACCCTCTCCCTACCCCGAGGAACGGCCTGCCTGCCCCCAGCTTTACTCCCTTACCTTGAACAGTTCCGACGGATTGTGTTCTGGCTAGGGGATGACCTTCGGTCCTGGGAGGCCGCCAAACTGTTTGCCCGAAAGCTCAACCCCAAGCGATGTTCTTTGGTGAGGCCTGGAAACCAGCAACCTCGTCCCCTGGAGGCTTTAAACCAAGGCTTAAGTCTTCCTCGTATTCTTCGTACTGCCCTCCCTGCCTGGCACAAGTCTATTGTGTCTTTCCGCCAGCTCCGTGAGGAGGTTCTAGGAGAGCTATCAAATGTGGAGCAAGCAGCTGGTGTCCGTTGGAGTCGCTTCCCAGACCTCAATCGTCTGCTGAAGGGGCATCGGAAGGGCGAGCTGACAGTCTTTACAGGTGACTCTTTAGGAAATCACTGCTTGGGAGCTGGAGAGATGATTTAGTGGCTAAGAGCAGTGGCTACTCTTGCAGAGGAATGGAGTTCAATTCCTAGCACCCACATAATGGCTCACAACTATCTGTAGCTCCAGTTCCAGGGGGATCTGATGCCCTCTTCTGACCTCTGAGAACGCCAGGCATGCTTAGGGTGCACAGACATGCATGCAGATAAAACACCTATGCTAATAAAATAATGTGGGTTTTTTTATTTTTTGGTTTTTTCAAGACAGGGTTTCTCTGTGTTGTTTTGGAGCCTGTCCTGGAACTTACTCGGTAGACCAGGCTTGGTCTCGAACTCACAGAGATCCACTTGCCTCTCCCTCCCAAGTGCTGGGATTAAAGGCGTGTGCCACCACCACCCTGCTTGGTTTTTTGTTTGTTTGTTTGTTTTTGTTTTGGTTTGGTTTGGTTTTACGAGACAGGGTTTCTCTGTATTGTTTTGGAGGCTGTCGGTCCAACCTGGCCTCGAACTCACAGAGATTCGCCTGCCTCTGCCTCCCGAGTGCTGGGATTAAAGGCGTGCGCCACCACGGCCCTGCTTGTTTTTTTTTTTAATTTTTTAAAATTAAATTTTTAATTTAATTTTAATTAATTTTTAAAATTTTATTATTAAGTATACAGTGTTCTGCCTGCACGCCAGAAGAGGGCACCAGATCTCATTATAGATGGTTTCAAGCCACCATGTGGGTGCTGGGAATTGAACTCAGGACCTCTGGAAGAGCAGACCTGGGTGGTTTTTTTAATTATGGTTTTGGAGCTGGAGAGATGGCTCAGTGGTTAAGAGCACTGACTGTTCTTCCAGAGGACCCAGTTCAATTCCCAGCAACCACATGGCAGCTCACAGCTGCCTGTAACTACAAGTCTGACACCCTCGCACAGATACACAGGCCCTCAAAACACCAATAAAGTAAAAATAATTTAAAAAAGAAATTATGGTTTTACAGCTGGACAGTGGTGGTGCACACCCTTAACCCCAGCACTCAGGAGGCAGAGGCAGGTGGATCTCTGAGTCTGAGGACAGTGAGAGTTGTTATACAGAAAAACACTGTCTCGGGAAAAAAATTCACTGCTTTGGGTAAAGGGTTAGACAATAAGGTGACAAAAGTATGTGGGTTTTGGCCACTGGCTGTATTTAATTATTTTTTTTTTAGGTTTAAACTATGTGTATGAATGTGTCACCTACATGTGTGTCACAGCATGTGTGCCTGGCACCTTCAGGCCAGGAGTCATCAAATCCCTTGGAACTGGACTTACAGATGGTTGTAAGCCATCATGTGGGTGCTAGGAATCAAATCCAGGACCTCTGTAAGAGCAACAAGTACTTTAAGTACTGCTGGAGCTCTCCAGCCCCCCACTGGCAATGTGAAAAGGAGGCTTCCCACCAGGTATCTTTAATCCCAGCACTTGGGGGGCAGAGGCCAGCATGGTCTACAGAGTAAGTGCCAGGACAGACTCCAAAGCTACACAGAGAAACCCTGTCTGGAAAAGAAAAAAGAGGCTTCCCCTCCCAACTTATACCAGAATCTTAGTTCAAGGACTAGACTTGCCTCTTAACCCAGAGCTGTGTCTATCCCCCTACAGGACCTACAGGCAGTGGAAAGACAACATTCATCAGTGAGTATGCCCTGGACTTGTGTACCCAAGGGGTGAACACACTTTGGGGTAGCTTTGAGATCAGCAATGTGAGACTAGCCCGGGTCATGCTGACTCAGTTTGCTGTGACACGGCTGGAAGAGCAACTGGACAAGTATGAGGAGTGGGCAGACCGCTTTGAGGACCTGCCTCTCTATTTCATGACTTTCCACGGACAACAAAGCATCAGGTAAGACCTTCAAAGACCTGTTACTTTTCAAAAATATTCTTAATTTTTATTTGAGGCAGAGTCTCTCTAGGTAGCTCTGACTGTCCTGGTACTCACCATGTAGACCAGGCTCTGCCTTCAGAATGCTGGGGTTAAGGGCATGCACCACCATGCCTAGTCTTTACTCTCATTTTTGAGAGATCATAACACATTGCATTTTTTATTCCCTTTCTGGCTCCAATGAGAGTACCTTCCAGGTATCTTTAGACAGGTTTCCAAAGTATGGGAAGTCAGAAGAGTGGATGATATCAGAGTTTTCAGGATGCATGCTCCTCTCCCTGGAGAGACCTGAAGTTTCTTGTCGTCGACTGTTTAAATCACTGCTTCTCTTTTTCCAGGTCTGTAATAGACACAATGCAACATGCTGTCTACGTCTATGACGTCTGTCATGTAGTCATTGACAACTTGCAGTTCATGATGGGTCATGAGCAGTTCTCTACTGACAGGTGAATTCTTCTTGTCTAACTCAAACACACGTCTTCTCATGAAGCTGGCCTCTAGGTACATTCACAGTACTGTTGTCTCCCAAGAGGTCGTGGCAGTGGAAGGTTGTCCAGAGAGCAGAGTGGGAATCCTTAGGTAGAAAGTGTAGTGGGGCTGGGAGAGTTAGTGTGGAGTGAGTGGCTCAAGAGTTTGTGTGTGCTCCACTTAATGACCTCTTCTTGCTGAATCTCACTGCTGCAGGATTGCTGCTCAAGACTGCATCGTTGGAGCCTTTCGGAAGTTTGCTACAGACAACAGCTGCCATGTGACTCTGGTTATTCACCCACGGAAGGAGGATGATGACAAGGAGCTGCAGACAGCATCCATTTTTGGCTCAGCCAAAGTAAGTCGGCTTTAAAGTACTCAAGCTTTGAAGAGTTAGAGACAGGCATAACTAGAAAAAGTTCACTCAGCCTGCGATCCTCGTGACTGCCCTGAAAAGGCAGGAGGCAGTGGTTCTGGGGCCATGACATAAGGAATACACGAGCCAGGAATACAAGGGATTGTAGTTAGTTCTTTGTCATCTAGGAGCTCACATCTTGGTAAGGAAAAGAATGAGGTCATAATTGCAACTCGGTGGGATGAGAACTATGATAGGCAGTACAAGTACTTGGGGGAGGGGGATCTGAGTCACCCTGTGATGTCTAGGGAGACTTCCAGTGGATGCACCAACAAAAGTTACACTGAGGTTTCCAGACAGTAAGGGTCAGATCATCAAATAAATGGGAAGGTCTTCTGGGCCACAGGACCAGAGCCTCCAGTGGTATGCTAAATTCCTTTCACATATCGGGCCTGAGCTAGCCAAAGGGCATTCAGGGTTAGGAGCAAAAGTATGTTGCTTTGGAACAGACATGGGACAAGAATAATGCAGAAGTTTAAAAAAAAAAAATCAGTGCCTGGAAAGATGTCTCAGAGGTTAAGAGCACTGGCTGCTCTTCTGGAGGTCCTGAGTTCAATTTCCAGCACCACATGGTGGCTCACAGCCATCTGTAATAAGATCTGGTGCCCTCTTCTGACCTGCAGGAATATGCTGCAGGCAGAACACTGTATACATAATAAGCAAATAAATCTTGGGGCTGGAGAGATGGCTCAGAGGTTAAGAGCACTGGCTATTCTTCCATAGGTCCTGAGTTCAATTCCCGGCAACCACATGGTGGCTCACGACCATCTGTAATGAGATCTGGTGACCTGGAGGCCAACATGAAGGCAGAATATTGTATACATACTAAATCTTTAAAAAAAAATTGGTGGTGGTACTTTCTTTAGGGGATCAAAAGGTGGTCCTTAGTGGAATGATACATGAATGGTGAGAATAAGCTGGGTAGGTAGGACTCTAGAGGAGACGTGTTGCAAGAAGTAGGAGCAGCTTGGAGTCTGAGACAGTGGTAAGCTGGTTATGAGACTGGGAGATCTGGCAGCTCTAGCATCCATTGTGATTAGTTGTTTAAAGAGCCTGGTGATGAGGGGTACTTTTCCCTTTTCCCTTTTTTAAAAATTTAATTTGTTTAGGGTCTGGCAAGATGGCTCAGTGGATAGGAGTACTGACTGCGCTTCCAGAGGATCTGAGTTCGATTCCCAGCACCCACCTGGCAGCTCACAACTGTCTGTAACTACAGTTCCAGGGAATATGGCACCCTCATATATATATATATATATATATATATATATATATATATATATATATATACACATACATACATACAGGCAGAACACTAGTGCACATAAAAATAAAGATAAAAAGAAGTTTAATGTGTATGGGTGTTTTGCCCATTCATGCATCTTTGCATTACATGCATGTTGGTGCCCTTGGAGGCCAGAAGAAGGCATTGAATTTCCTGGGACTAGAATTAGAGATGGTTGTGAGCTACTATGTAGTTGCTGGGAATTGAACCTGGGTCCTCTGAAAGAGCAGTCAGTGCTCTTAGCCACTGGGTGGTCTCTTCAGCCCTCTCTTTTTTTCCATTCTTGCTACTCCTCCCTGAAGCCTCAGCCTTCCTTTCATTCATATGTCTTCTTTCTCCTGCCCTCTCTCCTTTAGGCAAGCCAAGAAGCAGACAATGTTCTGATCCTGCAGGATAGGAAGCTGGTGACTGGGCCAGGGAAACGGTATCTGCAGGTGTCCAAGAATCGTTTTGATGGAGATGTAGGTGTCTTCCCACTGGAGTTCAACAAGAGTTCCCTTACCTTCTCCATCCCGCCGAAGAGCAAAGCCCGACTCAAGAAGATCAAGGATGACAATGGACTAGTGGCCAAAAAGTCCTCTTCTGGCAAAAAGGGAGCTGGGCACCAGAACGCTGAGACTTGCTCCGGCCAGGACCCCAGCTCCTACCAGCCAGATCCAAGTCCTTAAGGTGAAAGCTGTGCATAGCCGCTTGCTGAAATGAGCTTGAAAGGCCAGGCTAACAGACCCTTGGCCTTCTGCTAGGGCTCTTCCATGTAGTCCTGAGATATGGAACCTTCCCAGCCTTTGGCTGGGTTCCATGGTGAGAAAATTGAATTCAGCAGCTACTGGGGACCTCCTGAAAGCTGGGTTTTCTTTATATATATGCACACACACAGCACTAAAAAAGACAAGGTCTGTTTCCAAAGAACCGGCATTTCGGTAAAGGAACAAAGTGAATAGTGTGAGACTGCTTACAGACTAGTTTTCATTTGGCAGTCTGAAAAGGTCAGAGGGCATGTGAGAACTAGGACTGTGGGCCTTGTGAACCTCTGGAGAAAGGGTCCAGGCAGAGAAACGTACTAAAACCTGAGGTGGGAATGAGCAGGTCAGACAGTGACGGTAGGCCCCGGAACTGTCATGCAACAGGAGGCTTCCTGCTGAAACTCCTGCAGTTAGGCATTCAGAGGCACCAAGCCTCTCTGTTCTCTGCTCTCTGCTGTGTAGAGCCAGGCTTTGTAAGGTAGGTGTACCTGTTAGAACTGACCTAGGTGCTTAAGCCGGTACTCTCAGGGCCTCAAAGAAGGGAGCTTCCTCCCACTGTATTGCATCGCCATAGAACCTTGGAAAGAAGCTGTGAGCCCACGGTGGCTGCCTCTGGGATACTGATTCCATTGTATGCTGCCTCTGACAGCTGCAGTTAGGACTCAGAGCCTTTTCCAGTTTGAATGAAACATTGCCTTTGTTTCTGTGCTTTTTCTTATTTGTCCACCAGATGTCTCCCCACGCTGACTGGATTTCCTCAGAATTGGGAGTAAATAGATCCTTTCCCCCACTTTGGCCTTCACTTCCCACTTCAGCCCATCAGATATCAGGGAGAAGTACAGGGTCTTCACAGCCCTGAACATAGACCTTCCCTTGGCAAACGGGAGACAGGGTGGTGTGTTACCTTACCGAAGACTCCATGAAACCCCTGACAGGTGTGGGTCACTGGGTCACATTCCCAGACCTTGCCTGACCTGCTGTCCCTCTTCCCCTGTGAGGTGAGCCATTCATATTTCTCAATGTAGACTCAGGAGTCAGTCCTAGCTGGGTGTGGTGGTGAATGCCTTTAATTCCTGCACCTGGGAGGTAGAGGCAGGAAGATGAGGAGTTCAAAGTTATCCTAAGCTACACAGTTCCAGGCTAGCCTGGGCTACTCAAAACCCTGTCTCAAAAATCCAATCAGTTTATTTCTTATCTCTAATCCTCTACCCTCGTCTATTTCCTTCTGGTATCCCCCCATTTCTTCCTATGTGCTAGAAGTTCTGGGAGTTTGTTGAAAACTTGGAGTTTAGGGGCTTCTCTCTCCCCCCTGCCTTTACATGTTTGCAGTTCCGGAGTCCAAGATGGGATGCAGATGCCTGGTTTTAATAAGCACTACAGAAGACTATAACAATGACCCACAGACTGCCAGGCATATTGCTAAATGACCTTTGTATCTGACTTTCTCTGATGCTCTCAAGTACCAAATCGGGGGTGCTGGAAAGCCTCTGCTGCAGGTAGCAGGGACATGTTTTTACTCCCTAAAGGAGGAACCTTTTCAAGTCTATCCAAGAGGAAGCTTTTAGAGACAGGGAAGAGTCCAGGGTTTCTGAGAACTATAGCTGTTGTTGGGGAAGAGCCTAGGGGTGGGGGCAGCTCCTCCAGGGTCTGCCTTCTTGGGGGTCTCTCCCAGACTTACTGGAGCCAGGCCTCTCTAATCCTGCACTAATCATTCCCAGCAGTTGGCGGCGCGGGGCCTCATCCAGGGTCTGAAATATTTAAGTCAGCCATGCCTTCCAGATGTACAGAACAAGGCCATTTCTACTTAGAAGGGCATGGACTCCATCCATATTCTCTTCTAGAATGTCTGACGCTGTCTCTGAAAACCCTTCGGAGTTTCCAGTTTGGAGTTTGTGAGGGCTGTGCAATCAGCATAGAGAAATAGATACACGTTTGCCTGTTTGTCTTGCTCCACCCTCCCAGCAGACACCCCCACACAGTTCAAACCAGAATGAGGAGGAGGGGAAACCAACACACCCGTACACAAACACATTCCACTCCATACCTGCCTTAAACTTCCCACCGCAACATCTAGCACAGAGTATGTTCAGGAGCCTAGGAGGCGGGACAAGGTCAGTCCCTATACCCTGCATACAGTCTCTAGGAGCCGTGCAAAAGCTGGAAGAAAGTGGACAAGAAAGTCTGTTCAGCTAATTTAAGAATGTCCCAGAGACCTCCCGGGAAGGCCTGGCCCAGCAGGGTCAAATTCGGCCTGTATCCTCGTGTTCAGACCAACACTGTTGCATGGTGAGCAGAGGCAGCTTTAGGTCTTCAGTAGCTGTTACTGTGGGTGGGTTTGAGAAGAGACTTAACTTACCTTGGTCTCCTGCAGCCCAACCACTCAGATAGTGGGTATGGCTCAGATAGATGGAAACTTAAGCAATGTACCTGGTATGCCAGGGAGGAAGGGAGCCCTTAGTACCTCCCCGAAACACAGGCCAACTTCCTGCTTGTGCCTGTGGGTGGGACTTTATAGCCTAGGCATGGCCTATGGGGGCCCAGGACTACCTGTTTTCTCACCTAGTTATAACTACTCCAGGGAAGGGGGCGGTACTAGTCCTGTTAGGACAGCCCCCAAAAGTCCCAGTGTGTGCGTACACAAGTGTGTGTGTGCGCGCGGGGGGGGGGGTATGAAACTCGAGAGTTCTTTGTCTGCTTCACAGGGATTTTCCCTCTGGTTGTGGGCAGAGTGGACCGGATTGAGTTCCCTACAGAACAGGAGAGGGTGACAGAGTCAAGCTTTATAGCCCCTTATAGTTAAGGCAACCAGGTAGCTTTGCCGTCGGTCATATCTGCCCTCCCCCTAGGTCAAAAGTCAGTACGCTGTGCAGTCATACGGCCGGAGCTTAGACCACCGTCAGGCTACTTTTGGGCTGTTTGCTGGGTCGGGCTACTTTTGGGTTGGTACTAGGTTGGCTGTTCGAGTGGTGCGGGGCAGACCACTCCCCTCTCTGGGTGGCGGGGCGCGGCTTCAGCCGCCCCGCCCCACTCTCCCAGGTCCGGCCTGGCGGGGGCCGGGAGCCCTGAGCACGGAGCCTGGAGAGGGCTGGGGAGTCCGAGTTCTATCGCGGCGGGGAAGTACTAGGCACGCTGGAGCAGGAGCCCGGCCATAGAGGGAGCAGCGGCGCAGGTGACGCTGGGTGAGTGGTGGGGCGGACGGGGTGCAGGAACTCCGGTTCCTGCACATCCTTGCTCTGGAGAGAACTTTCTGTGTCTTGAGAAGCGGGGTTGGGATGAGGAAGGGGTCCGCACTCTATGGAGCGCAGGCGAACTCTGAATATCTGAATAGCCAAGGGGCAGGGAAACTCACACAGACGCTCCAGCATACACTCATGCATAGACCCATGCATTCGCTTAGGACACGAACACACGTGCGCTCAGGAAAGGACAAGCAGAGCGAGATACCCTAGCCGTTCCAGAGGCAGTGCCATCGGCCCGCGCGACCCCCGGAGAGATGGACGCTGAGTTTTTCTGCCCGAGGCGGAGGGAAAGTGGCCGCCCTGAGACTCAGCGGGGGCGGGCGGGGTTTGTCGCATCAGGCGGTTCCTGCTTCCCGGCTGCTTGCCTGCAGGTGAAGACCTAGGCGTAAACAGGCGTTGAGCACGTGACTGCTTCGCAGACCGGTGGGCAGTCCTCCCCTAACTCTGTCTAGACAGGGACACCCCTCGCCCACCTCTCCCCCAGTCCTGGCATACTTGCTCCGTCTGCACAAGACTTTATTCCGTACTCCCCCTGGAATGGTGATAAACCCTCTCACCAGAATGGGAGGTCAACGCCCCCGGGGGCTTGGGTGGTGGGGGAGGCCTGGAGAGTGTTGGGCCGGCTGGGATTACTTGGACTCCTTGCCTTCCTGCTCACTAACACATCCTCGGAATCCGAATCCTTGAAAGGTATCCGAGAGAGGACCTTGATGGCCCCGGCCAGCTGCCCCTGTCTTACACCCAGTCCCGGGAGCAGCTGTAGACCGTTTCCTCCCACCACCCACTTGCAGGACTGGGCACAAAAAGCCCACCCATGCAGGAGGAGCAGCCTCCCTCGACCCCCACCCCTCGCCACGGAGAATGCATCAGAGTAAATAGGTCCTTAAACCCTGAGGGGGGTTGCCTTCACTAGGAGGGAGAAGGACCAGATCCCCTTCTCGCAGAAAATGAAGGGGGGCGGCTGCCCTAGGCCCCTCTCCCCGCCACCCCCCACCCTTCACCCCGCCACACGCTGAGCCCAGCTGCTGCCTGAGCTTCTGGGCAGGCGGCCAGAAAGGGGAGGAGGCTCTCTGTGCCCCAGAAGGCAGGGATCAGGGCAAGGCCAGAGGAGGAGGGGGTCTCTGTTGGGGAGAGGCCTCCAGTCTGTTCGTCTGAAGCTGAGGGGCTGGAGTGAGCCTGAGGGTGGCTGGCCTGTGTTTCCCTTTCCAGGGAAAAAGAAAGAAAAACAACCCTTTCCATGGAGCTAAAAATAGAGCTGAGAGCCGGCCAGGCTGTGGCCTGGAAGGGGGGGGATGCTTCTTCCTGGGGCTGAGCCCAGCTCTGGCAGGCGGGCCTCGGCCCTGGGGGGGGAGCGGTGGCCTTGCCAGAGGATGTGAATGTCAGCTGACCTGACCAGGTCACAGAGACCCCTCAGGGAAAGTGGGTAGTTTGTGACTGTGATGCAAGAAGTTGTCTTGAATACCGCTGTCCTTGCACGGAAGAGGGTGGCTGGGAAACTGGGCGTCTTTTAAGATTGTGCCTGGATGCGAAGGACTGTTGTGAAAATGCACCATAGGCATGAACGCCAAGGATTCTGTCGGCTGGCCCGAAGGATTACGGGATGAAGGAATCCACGTGATGGATGAGACAGTGGTTGTGGCTGCCCGAGACAGAATGTGGGAAAGGTCGTGTGGGTGTTAAGGCTGTTGTTTTCGAAAGGGTAAAAATATTTGTGACCCTGAAAAAGACATTGGTGTGTCTGCAGCAGGGCCAGTGTAGGTTTGAACCCTTCATCCTTGAGATTATTGGGGGCCAGGTGCCCCCCCTTGAGCAGCTTCCTTTCTCATAGCCAATGACCCCGAGGTTAGCTGGGGAGCCCGGAGCCATGCCTGGGACAAGCCCAGGCTCGCGGCCTGAGGGATCTGCTCTGGGAAGGGAGTGGGATGAGTGGGGGGCTGGGGGGGCTGATAAGTTGATGGAAGGGGCCGCCAGGTGGCGCCGCTTCTGAACAATCCTGATGTGTGACCTCCAGCCTGCTGGGGGTGGGACAGACGGGCGACCGAGCCAGTCCCTCAACTTGTGCCCGGGAGCCGGCAAGCGGAGAGGGCCGGCTGACCCTCGGCCTCCTCTTGGACTGGGAAGCTGGAGGCTGGGGAGGGGAAGCTTGGTCTAGAGACGGGGAGGGGGAGGGGCGGGCGCCGCGCCTCGGCTCTTTGTGCTGGAACAATGACCAGCTGCCGCCGGCCCTCCGGCCCCGGCCGGGGTAGCCGATGACCGGCTCGACGACGAATCTCGAGCCGACCGAGTCTCCCAACACAAACGCAGTCGCGGGGCCTCTCCGGGAGGGATCGCGGGCGCCGCCGTGCAGCCCCTGCGTGCGCCCTGGCGGGCACGCGTGACGTGGGGAGCCTGCGCGTGTCCGCGCCCCGGGGCGGGGACACCCCTCGCACCCCTCCCCCGCTCCTCGCGCACCGCCCACTCGGGCCGGGCGGGGGCTGGACGGGGCCGGGGGCGCCGGCTGGGCGGAGGCGGGGCCGGGCCGGGCAGCTCCGAGTGGCCGCGCGCGGGCTGGAGCGGGCGGCGCGCCTGTGGAGCGCTGGGGCGGCCCGGGGCTGAGCATGGAGCAGCGCGGCGGAGGTGAGGGGGCCAGGGCTCAGGGTGCCCCAACTTGTAAGCGATGCGGTCTGGTGGGGAGGTGGCATTCCACAGACGCCCCCAGGTCATGGAAGGAGCGGACGGTTGTGGGTGGCCCGGGGGACCCCGGGCTTTCCGTCCGGAAGGGGAGCTCGTTATCCCAGCCTGGGTCCCGCTTGACTGGCCTCTGGAGTTTGAGTGTGTGTGTTGGGGGACTTTCCCTAACTCTCCGGCCCCCGGCCCCGAGGTCAGAGAGTTGGGACCTGGGCCAGACTCATCCCAGGCCTGGCATGGCCCCAGGCTCCAGAACCCCCAACCCTCGACGGGGGTGGGGGGACGCAGGGGTCTGTGTGCCGTAGTGCTAGGTCAGGGAGTGCTGGAGAGAACCAGGGGTTCATTTTTCCCACAGCCACAGACGCATTTCTCAAAATGGAGCCGCTTGCCCCTCCTTCTCTCTTGGGCCTCAAGAGCGGGAGCCAGGCTGGCTAGGCCTGGCTTTCCAGACTCCTGGCCCGCAGAGCCCAGCTTTACGTCCCTCTGGCTTTAGGCCCCTTGCCTGCGTGGCTTCCGCGACTCTTAACTCATGAGCCTGCCTCTAGCTCCTCGTGTCTGAGCCTCTTGGCCTCTTTGTCTCTTGACGTCTGGTCTCTGTCTCTGAGTGACTACAGCGGCCCTTGCCCTTGCTTTTCTGGGTCTCCGTTTCCGTGTACCCTGGAGTGGGGAAGTAGGAACAGGAGTGCCAGCCCTTCCCACTCCTCTCTCCGTGCTGTGGAGCAGTCCCTATCCCCGGGCTGGACCTCGTGGGGCCGTCTCGGCTCCTAGCCCTACAGAGAAGTGTGTGATCTATCGCTCCTGTATCCAGTTCACCTCCTAGCCTAGTTGCCAGCAACTCCTCCCTCAGGCCGACTCCTGTGACTCTCCGTGTCTAAACACTTGGGGACACTTCATGGAGAGCAGTGTAGAAGACCAGGTGGGCCTAGGGAGGGTCAGATACTTTGAGCTCACCTTTCCTCGAACCCTTACGTTTTTTGTTTTTGTTTCTTTTAAAAAAGGTTTTAAAAAGGGGGGGAGAGGCTTCCATTTACCCAGGTGGTCTTGAATGTCACCCACCCCCAGAAATACTCACTCCTACAAATTACTCCAAATGTGCTTTTCACACATGCCTACCTGTTCCACACCCTTGTGTAACATGTACACATAGTATTTCATGTAACTGCCCTGGAAGAAAGGAAGATGTTCTGAGAGACCCTTGTCTCTCAATCTATGAGAGGCTTCAAACAGTATACCCCAAACGAGTGAGGGTTTCCCTAGGAGTCTCATACTGAGAGAAGAAAATGGCTTATTGAGGAAAGGTGACTTCAAATGACTTGGGACATAGACACTGACCCCAAGTTTGGTGATAGTCACACAAAAACTCAAATATATTTGGACAAACTGGCATACCTCTCCAAACTTTTTTTTTTTTTTTTGCCATGGAGTCACATTCAGACCCCACAGATTCATTTATTACATATACATTACTAATCTTTGTGTACTCTGTAAGTATAAAAGTCAGTCTTGTAAACAAGAATTCACACATAGAGTTGGGCATGGTGGCACAAGCTTAGAATCCCAGCACTCTGAAAGCTGAGGGGGAGGACCCATGACTCTGAGGCCTGCCTGTGTTAGCCGTGTCACACCCATGTATGAGTGTCCTGACGTCTGTCTGAACACACATCTGCTCACTCCGTATTTTCACGCACATTTTCACAGCTATGGCTCTTGTGTGCTCCTGTGCCTGTGCGCACACTCACAAGTAAATGTGCACACTCTTCTGGAATTCTCTGTCCACTTCTTGGCCCCTCCACATGATGACTTCAGCAGATGCCTAAGTCTTGGTCATCAGCAGCCTTGGGACGGGAGGGAGTTCCGGGTGGAGGCTTGTTGTCCCTTCCAGGAAGGAGCAAGACTAGGGGAGGTGGAGCCATCTTTCTTGAGTTCCTTCCAGAGGTGGTAGTGGGCTTCTGCTCAAATCCCACTAACTAACGCGGCAAGGTTTGTAAAGCGTGACTCGGACAGGGCCTATGTAGGCTCCCTTAGTCCTAACTGAATGGATGGTAGAAGCTAGGAGTTGTCATGGAAACAAGCATACCCAGCATCAGCCTCTGGGAGGTAGGAGACCCCAGAGGGCACCTGTGGCTTCCTAAGACCTGTAAGGGTTCCGGTTTGGCCAGCTCCACCCCTGCCGCCTCTGTGTCTGGAGAAACTGAGGCCTAGCAGTGGGAGGGCTGGACACAGCCTGGCTTTGGCTCTTTGTTCCCTAATTACCATCTGAGTTGCTGATTGCATCCCTGACGTGTCCTCTGCCCAAACAGCCCAGTAATGAGGCCACCTGTCCCAGGAGAGACAGTAGGGACCTGTACTGGGAGCTCGTAGTTAGGGATCTCTGCCCAAGCCGAATCTTGGCCTTTATAGGGATGCAGGTTTGGGCTTAAGACTGGGCCTTCCCTGCCAGGGAGCCTGCATAACCTCCTAGGTCTCCATTCCTTCGTCATCTGTGGTCTAGTTAGTCCTTAGCCTTGTCCAGACTAGAGTTGGGTAGTAGCCTAAGGGTCAGGGGAAACTGAGGTTCATGCCTGTACCTGGAGAGGAAGCCTTGATACTATGTTGGGAGTGTTCTGTCTGAAGGAGGGGGTCACAAAAAGGCCTGTAGGGGAGAGTTCTCAGGTGCAGGGACTCTGACACCAATGCCCTGCTCACAGGTTGCCCTGGAGGCCCCTGGCCAGGCCTGAGCCTCTGCCACCATGGCCATTGTGCACACTCTGCCAGTGCCACTGGAGCCCGCACGTGACACAGCCACTGCCCCACAAGCTCCAGCAATGGGCAGCGTGAGCAGTCTTATCTCAGGCCGGCCCTGTCCCGGGGGATCAGCTCCCCCACGACACCATGGTGTCCCTGGGCCCACCTTCTTCCGCCAGCAGGATGGGCTGCTACGGGGTGGCTACGAGGCACAGGAGCCACTCTGCCCAGCTGTGCCACCCAGGAAGGCTGTCCCAGGCACCAGCTTCACCTATGTCAATGAGGACTTCAGGACGGAGTCACCTCCCAGCCCCAGCAGTGATGCTGAAGACCCCCGAGAGCAGCGGGCACATAATGCCCACCTCCGTGGACCTCCACCAAAGCTCATCCCTGTCTCTGGGAAGCTGGAGAAGGTAAGAGCCAGCCCTTCTGGGAGGATCTGGGTGCAATCAGGAGCCCCTTGTGGAAGCTATGTACAGAGCAAAGACTGTGGGCTGTCTAGGCTGTCATTCTGGCTCAGGGAACTAGCAAGCTGCCCCATTTTCTATGTTTAAGGTCATAGGCTTATAGCTATACTTAGGGCCATAGGCTAATCTTCGTAGGCTCCTATTAGAATTAGTACTTAGTATAGTACCCAGTACCGCCAAATGGACAATACTAGTTGCTTCAATGATGATGATGATGATTATTTATGTATTTATTTTGGTTTTTCGAGACAGGGTTTCTCTGTATTGTTTTGGAGGCTGTCCTGGAACTCGCTCTGTAGACCAGGCTGACCTTGACCCACAGAGATCCGCCTGCCTCTGCCTCCCGAGTGCTAGGATTAAAGGTGTGTGCCAATGCCCAGCAACTTCATTACTTTTTAATTTTTTGTTTTTTGAGACGGGGTTTCTCTGTGGCTTTGGAGGCTGTCCTGGAACTCACTCTGTAGACCAAGCTGGCCTCCAACTCACAGAGATCTATCTGCCTTTGCCTCCTGAGGGCTGGGATTAAAAGCATGTGCCACCAACGCCTGGCTATTTCCTCACTTTTAAATATGAGAAGAGGATAATATTTTGTCTCCATGGCTGTTATGATTAAAAATGAGCATTTTGAATTACTTAAGTGGGAGCAATGGTTTTTAGTTTTTAGGGGTTGAAGACCCTGTGTGGGAACCTGGAAAGTCTGACACAAGCGTAAGGACCTGAGTTCAGATCCCCAGTGTCCGTGTAGAGAAATGGGCACTTAATGGCACAGGACTGTGATCTCAACACTCGTGGGACAGAGACACAGATCCCTGGAGCTTGCCAGGCAGTCGAACTAGCTGAATTTGTAATCTGGAGGGACAGTCAGAAAATGAATCAAAAATTGGGGGAAAAAATTGGGGGGAAGGTAACCGAGGAAGCCTCCTAACTTTGACATCTGGCCTCCACACACAGGCACCAGTGTGCACACAGGCACATATGCATGCATGCACACACACATTGGTGCATGCACACACATTGATTAGTGTTTTGAAAGATCAAGCAAGCAAGCTGGGCGTTGTATCTCACACCTGTAATCCTACTGCTTAAAAGGCAGAACCCTTGTTTCTATTCAGGGCTAGCCCTGGGGATACATGGTGAGTTCCAGGCCAATAGAGTAAAACCCTTTCTCAAACCAACAACAGTAAAAAAAATTTTAGCCGGGCAGTGGTGGCGCACGCCTTTAATCCCAGCACTCAGGAGGCAGAGGCAGGTGGATCTCTGTGAGTTCGAGACCAAGCCTGGTCTACCGAGCGAGTTCCAGGATAGGCTCCAAAACAATACAGAGAAACCCTGTCTCGAAAAACCAAAAAAAAAATTTTTTAAAAAGAAAGTGATCAACCTCACATGTCACATGGTACTTCATTTCAGAACATGGAGAAAATCCTGATCCGGCCAACAGCCTTCAAGCCAGTGCTACCCAAACCTCGGGGAGCACCGTCCCTTCCTGGCTTCCTGGGTCCTCGAGCTGCTGGCCTATCCGGGAGTCAGGGCAGCCTGACACAGCTGTTTGGGGGACCAGCCTCCTCCTCCTCCTCTTCCTCTTCTTCTTCTGCTGCTGACAAACCCTTGGCACTGAGTGGCTGGGCCAGTGGCTGCCCATCGGGAACATTGTCAGACTCTGGCCGAAACTCTTTATCCAGCTTGCCCACCTACAGCACCGGAGGTGCTGAGCCAACCGCCAACTCCCCAGGTGGGCACCTGCCCTCCCATGGCCCCGGCCGAGGGGCGCTGCCTGGTCCAGCCCGAGGGGTCCCTACTGGGCCCTCCCACTCCGACAGTGGCCGGTCCTCCTCCAGCAAAAGCACCGGCTCCTTGGGGGGCCGTGTAGGTGGGGGGCTCTTGGGCAGTGGTGCCCGGGCTTCCCCTGGCAGCAGTTCGGGTGGAGACCGCTCCCCGCCCCCTCCACCCCCTCCGCCCCCTTCGGATGAGGCCTTGCTACAGTGTGTCCTGGAAGGGAAGCTTCGTGACCGAGAAGCAGAGCTACAGCAGCTGCGGGACAGTATGGATGAGAGCGAGACCACGGTGTGTCAGGTACAGCGCAAGGCAGTCCCGGGGTGGTGCGGTAGAACACCCAGAGGCTTGGGTGTTAACAGTGCTGTCGGGAAGGGAGGGATGAAGACCCACGGTGTGACACCCCTAAGGCTTTAGGCTTAACCTTCAAAGGAGTAAGGAGTCAGGGTTCGTGAACTGGGTCCAGCATTGGCCGGTAGCGGCTGTTATATGCGAGCAAGTTACTTAACCTCACCAAGCCCGTTTCGCGTCTAAATGGAGATAGCTCTGACTTCTAGTGGAGTTTTGAGGATTAAATAAGGTCTAAAGTGCTTGGAATAGTGCCCTACACATTCCCGACACCTAGGGGATGCTATACCGGTGCTTGCTTTCACTGTTGTCAACTATGTTGGGCTTGTGTACTCTTCCCTCCTTCAGCCCAGGCAGGGAGGCCCCCAAGCGGGAGGCTAGCGCCCTGGCTCTAGGGGACCTGAATGTTTCTAGCCTGCCTCCTTCCTGTAGGCATTCGGGGCCCGGCAGAGGCACTGGCCACGAGAGCGGGAGGACTGTGCAGCCCAGGCGCAGCAGGCCACGCAGCGTGTCCAGCGGGCCCAACAGCTGTTGCAACTGCAGGTGTTCCAACTGCAGCAAGAGAAGCGCCAGTTGCAGGATGACTTCGCGCAGCTGCTGCAGGAGCGAGAGCAGCTGGAGCGCCGCTGTGCTGCCTTTGAGCGGGAGCAGCGGGAGCTTGGCCCGCGGCTGGAGGAGACCAAATGGGAGGTGGGCGAAATGAGGCGCTAGGCCGGCTGTAGGGGGTGTCGCGCTGGACCACACTGCAGAGGGCGCCCGGGGTGGCTGCCCCGTGGGGTGTGCCCTTCCTTGTCTTTCTGGGTTGGGGTTTCCCCATGTCTGATCTGGTGCCCACAGAGCTAGTGGCATTGCCTTCCCTATTAGGTGGGTATCGTTAATACCTCCAATTTATGAACCAGGAAATCTGAGTCTCAGAAAGGGCTGGAGCCTTGAATTACACTAGCAGGGGCTGGGCTGGGATACGAACCCAGGCAGTCTGTTTTGGATGCCTGTTGTTCACCTGAGCATGTGGCCATTGTCCTAGCCTTCCCCCACTCCAGTCCTGCAGTAACTGCGACCCTCTCCAGGCCTAGGCAGTGTTTACAGCCTCTTGTGTAAGGATCCCAGCAATGAAGTTTGGAAAAGACCTGGGTCTCCTCTCCTTTTGCTTCTTACTAGAAGTGTACCTATGGATGTGTCACTAGGCTCGCCGCCTCCTGTGCCTGTGTCCAACAGGGAGACAGCATGGTACCCAGCACTCGAGAGGCCTCACATCCTTCCTCACTCCTTTATTTTCCCCACAGGTGTGCCAGAAATCCGGTGAGATCTCCCTGCTGAAGCAGCAGCTGAAGGAATCTCAGGCAGAGTTGGTGCAGAAGGGCAGTGAGCTGGTGGCGCTGCGTGTGGCCCTGCGAGAAGCCCGGGCTGCCCTGCGGGTCAGCGAGGGCCGCGCCAGGGGCTTGCAGGAGGCAGCCCGAGCCCGGGAGGTTGAGCTGGAGGCCTGCTCGCAGGAGCTGCAGCGGTACCGCCAGGAGGCGGAACGGCTCCGGGAGAAGGCTGGGCACCTGGATGCTGAGGCGGCAGGACTCCGAGAGCCCCCGGTGCCCCCCGCCGCCACCGATCCTTTCCTCCTGGCAGAGAGTGACGAGGTCAAGGTGCAGCGGGCAGCGGCTGGCGCCGGGGGCAGCCTGCGGGCTCAGGTGGAGCGGCTGCGCCAAGAGCTGCAGCGGGAGCAGCGGCGAGGAGATGAACAGCGGGGCAGCTTTGAGGGGGAGCGGCTGGCCTGGCAGGCAGAGAAGGAGCAGGTGATCCGCTACCAGAAGCAGCTGCAGCACAACTACATCCAGATGTACCGGCGTAACCGGCAGCTGGAGCAGGAGCTGCAGCAGCTCAGCCTGGAGCTGGAGGCCCGGGAGCTTGCTGACTTGGGCCTCGCTGAACCAGCCCCCTGCATCTGTCTGGAGGAGATCACCGCCACTGAGATCTAGGGCTTTGCAAGGGGGCCACTAGCCACATGACCACCTGGGTCCCAGGATCCACTGAGCACCCCGGGTCTCAGGGCCAAGGGGCCTCTCTGCCAAGCGTTCAGGTGGCCTTGTGACTTGGAGGACCAAGATCAGACCCCTTGAAGTTCCACTTCACCGTCACCCAGAGGCTCCTACCTAGTCCGCCACTTACTCCCCAGCTGTGGGTGCCGCTGCCAGCCTTGTTTTGCCCCCAGATGTTTTCCAGCCCCCTCCAGCCGGGAGGGGAAAAGGGGCTCCCCCATCTCCACATTCTACCTGCCTGAAGCCAGAGAGAGCCAGATGGCACCAGCTGCCCCAGATGTGCCTGCCGCCAACAGGCCCAGGTGGAGGGACAGAGCTAGGACTGGGGTCTGACCCCCATGTCCCCGCTCTGCAAGCCTCTTCTGGGCTGAGGGGGCTAAGTCAGACCAAAGGAAGAACTCAGCAATGTCTTGTTTATTTGTGTTTGTGACCAAGCAGCCCCTCCTAATACCGGGTTTATGGCCTGGTTTTCACTTGTATATTTTTCACACTGTAAATTTCTTGTACAAACCCAAAGAAAAATTAAAAAAACTTTTGTTTTTAAAAAAGTTTGCTGGGTAAAGAAATGCAGGGGAACTTGTTTGGTATCTGTCTGGGACACCTGCCTCCTCTGTTTGCTGGCTACTCCCCGACTTCATGGAGTTCCTACGGGGAGAAAGGGTAAAACCGGATCCTAGTGGACCACAACATGAGTCTTGGTGAGGTTTGAGGGATTAGAGAAGCCGTCCATCCCATCCTTTGCACTGAACGAAGCTTGAGACTGGGGAATGGACGCCGTGACCTTGAGGACTCAGAGGATGGGGTGCCAGGGGCATGAAAAACCTCACACCTGTCACAGGCTTCAGATTTGAGTCTGTCCCCTCACTGCAAAGCAGTCCAGGACCAGGGAAAGCAGGTGACACAGGTTCCCCACTTGTTCTTGGACATCTAGCTTATCGTAAAAGGTCGGAGCCTTTGTGACAGCCTGGGGTGGTGCAGAACCACAAGCGTGGCAGTCTCTGCAGATAGGGCAGAGGAGGCCGGCCCAAGGGTGCAGGAAATCGGAGCAGCCATAGTCCCTAAGACCAATGGGGAGGGCCCTGGGGAGCCTTAGGAAGAGGGGAGAGCTTGGGGGTACACTGAGGAGTCTGAAGGGCTGGGTTGAGAGTCTGCTGTAGTTGCCTGGCCTCGGGGGGAGGCAGCTGGGGGCGGCATTGGGGTGTTGTCAAGGGGACCATGGGCAGAGGAACTGTCAGCAGGAAGGCTCTGGTCCTTTAAGGCTAATGGGGCAGAGGATACGGGCAGCAGGCCAGGCCCGGGGACCCTGACCACGAGCTCCATAGGCTCCCGAGCCTTGTTCCTGTACGCCCTGCGGATGGTGTCCACGGCTCGTTGGTGAGTCACCTGCTCCAGACTCTCTCCGTCCACTGCCACCAGCTCGAAGCCAGCCTGGCATGGAGATGGAACAGTCGGCTTTCACGTCATTCCCAGCCGCCACCCAACCTGAAGGCAGTGACCTTTGACCTCTACCAGTTAGGGCACTCCTCCATCTGGGTACTGGGGATGGACAATAGAACTTTTGTGCCTGGAGCTGTTGGGGGCAGGGTGGGGCACTGACAATGGCCCTTTGTCCTTTGGGACTTGAGGTGGAACGGGATGGGTCAACCTCAGGCCCAGGCTAGCACGAGGGGACAGATTCTTCTCTAGGCCTGCCCATCCTACCGGCCTGACCCCTTGGCCCCCACGCCACCTCCTAGACCCGGTCTGAACATGCCTGGCTGGAAGACTGAATGTACAGCCCTGTCTGTCCTTCAGCCCCGGGCCCATGGCGGCTTTGCGTCACCCACCTGCAGGGCCCCGCAGAGGCAAGCGGCGCCTCCCGGAAAGATCTTCTCTATCTTGACCATGGGCTGCACCTTGGACTCGATGCCCCCAGAGATGCTGATGCCTGGGGAAAGGTCCGAGGCACAGAGTGGCAGACAGCCTTACCCCAAACCTTGAGCTCCCAGGAGGAGCGTGGAATCTCACCCCCAAAATCAGCCTTGACTTCTTCTCAACTCTGCATTCTGTCTCAAGCCTCAACCTCCAGACCTAGATTCCCAGCTACATACCTCAGCACTCAGGTTCCTTCCCGGCCCCACCTTCCCTCAAATCCAGGCATCCACCTTGCTCTCCCGGTGCCTCCCGAACTCACCCAAAGACTGCTTCATCTTGGATAGTGTGACTGTCCTCAGCTCTCCAGTGGCGGCCTTCCTGGCAGTCTCCTCAGCCGCCCCACCGATTCCGTTCTCCAGGGGCCCTTGCCTAGCTCCCACCTTGGCCTCCGGCCCACCTAGAGGTCTTGGAAGCGAGGGCCTTGCCTTCCGAGGCCTGTGGTAGCGCCCGTTGACCGTGGTGGCGGAGGTGATGGGCGCTGGAGAAGGAGAGCGCCTGCGCCCAGGGGACTTGCCCCGACCTCGACTGCGACTTCGGCTGCGGCTCTGGGCTGGGGTCTGGCTCCGGTTCTGAGAGTCTTCTTTGCTCCGGGGTTCTGTGAGTAGCCAGTTAGGCCTGGGAGGCCGGGGAGCCACAGGAGGAGGTGCGCATGCGCTTCGGCGAGGGGAGAAGGCGTCGACAGGCACGTCTTGTAGAGGGGGGATTCCTTTATGGTGACGGCGAGGGGCAGCGGCACTGAGGGAGACCTGAAGGCCCCCCAGCCTCTCCCTTATCTCTCCGTCATCATCGTCTGCGCAGCCGTTCACAGGCAGCAAGTAGAAGCCTCCACGGCTGTCTGGGGAACAGGGTCAAAGCCAACTTGTTCCTCTTGGCCATCAGTCCCGGGATACCTTTCCAGACCCCCGGCCTTTATGCAGTCTATAGGGTTCCCGAGGGTGTGCAAACAAGGCCTGGATTTGCTCACGTCTCTTGCCAAGGGTCCCGTGGTAAAGGAACTCTAGCCACTGTGGCAGTGGACAAACGTGGCCTATTACTAATAGTCTCCTCGCGCTTTGTATTGCACTACAGGTCTACTCTATCATAGCCAAGAGGCCAGATTTAAAAGTGTGTAGTTTTAAAATGCCCCATACAGGAGCGAGTGGGTGGGATCCCAGTGGCCTGGAGGACAGGGCTTTCCTTCCTGACTACAGTGAGGCTGCTGGGAGGCAAGGACGGAAGGCCTGCTCTCCCCGTCCCTTTCCCCCAGGCTATGGGACTCTGACTGACCAGGCACAGGGGTGACGAGGTGACGCTTGGGTGGCGTGTCTTGCCTAGTTGGTCTCAAAGCAGAAGGCCGAACTGGTTGGAGGGGAGAACAGGTCAGAGTCAGGCACCCCGCCAGGCTCCCAGGTAGGCATGCCAACGGGCTCAGCAGCCTGAGCCACCTCCACTCCCTCCCACAACCGGGGCTCGGGAGCCAGAAGTCCTGCCCCAGCTGCTGACCTGCCCTGTTCTTGAGGGCCTCGAAAGCCTCCAACTCCACAGGCATCACCATGCTGTCAAAACGTCCCAGGTCCGTGGGGGCCACCACACTCCTGGGGAAGGCAGGGATGTGAGGGGAGGGGCAGGGCTTGGCTCTGGAGATGCAGGCAGGAGCTTAGGCCCTAGGGTCACCGGGGCTTCTTGCCCCGCCTCTCTCTTAAGCCCCTCCCAACCTGATGTCCCTCAGCAGCAGCAGCTTCTCCGGCCTGTCCAGGATGGCCAGCAGGGGGCGCACCAGATCCTCCACACCACCCTCATGGACATACTGTGTAAGGAAACACCACAGGTCAGACGGCAGCAGCAACTCCAGAGCTGGATATGGGGAGACACCGGGGCACACAGGGACCCCGGGGCCCGTCCAGCCGTCCTCACTCTAAGATAGGTTCACCCTATCCAAGGTCCACAAGATAGGACATCAGTAGCTTTGTGGACGCCTTGAGGAGCAGCAGATCTGCAACGGATAGCGCGGCAAACATGGCGTCTGGACAGGCAACTGTTTTACAAGCAGTCTGTTACTTAGCGACCATGCTGAGAGGACTCCTGCTTTACAGAGGGAGAATTTTCTCAAAGCCATGCAGATAAGGAACTGTGAGGAAAGGCTGGAACCCAAGACATCCAGCTCTCGCTGGCTCTGGCGCAGGAAAATAATGTGTAGCGACTGCACCCCCCCTCCCCTTCCCCCAGGCAGAAGGAAGGAAAGTGAGCCCAGCTCTAGGCTGTGGTCCTGGCTGTCCCTGCCCTTTGTTCAGAGACAGAATGGTGACCTTGGGGAACGGGTGGCTCCACAGAGTGCATCTCTGCTCAGTATCCTTCTGCCTGGCACTGCCTGGATGTTATCAGCCCGGATGCCACACCCCATGGATTCTGAAGAACTGAATACTGGGAGCCAAGTTATTTGGGTAGCACACCGCCCCCTGGTGGTGAAAGGGAGACAGCTCCAGGGAGACCCACCGGTAGTTACCTGGTATGGGCATAGAAATAGCAGGAGGCTCTGGTCATTTGAGTGAATCATCAATAAATATTAAGGAATAAGTAAAAATGAAGTGTGTGTGTGTGTGTGTCTAAACTACACCCATGGTTACAGGGACTCATATCAACAACACACTGCGATATATGTGCGTGTCCCTTAAGTCCACGAGCATGAATTCAGCATCTACTGACAGACCGCGGGTGGCAAAAGAGGCAGTATGATAATAAGACCCCCTCCCAGAGCTTCAGGAACTCAAGTGGAAACAAGGGGCAGGCGAGCCTCATTCTGCAGTAACCGTAAACCACTGCAACGGGGCAACGTGAGTTTCAAAGAAGGATTCAGAAGCAGTGCACTCCATTAGCTCCTCCGGAGTGGGAGCAAGGAGCAGCTTAACTTGGGGAGGAAAGTGTCCTGAGGGCGTGCAGACTAGCGAGTAAACAGAGGTTCGCTGTGGTGCCGAGGGCCCACAGAGGCACTCCTACCAGGTGACTAGCACCCCCAGAACTATGCAGCTTGTGACTTATATCAGTTGTGTGGTGGGCGAGGAAAGCCAGGTGTAGGGGGTTGGGCTGTCACATTGTGGTAGTCCTGGGGGGGGGGAAGTGACTCGTACTCTATTCTGCCTCATAAGGGAACTGTAGAGCAATAAGAGAGGTAACTTGTAATTCGGGGCTCAGACAGGGGCGGGAAGCCAGGTTTAGGGCAGCACATGGTAGTCACTGAGGAACGTTGCCTGTCTCTCAGACCCGGACTCATTTCTGAAGGTCTAGGGTGGGTGTGGATCATATGTAGAACCCGCAGGGTAAATAGAGCCACGGTGAAATGAAGCCGTGGTTTGAAGCAGGCTTGGGGAGTGGAGGGATGACCAAAGAAACAGACACAGGGCCCCTCCTAGTGGCCAGAGCTCGCAGTTGCAAGCTCTCACAAATCCCACTTAACGTTCAGGACCGAGTGACAAAGTTTAGCCCAGAGCCCTTGACAGTAAAGGGATGTGTGAATTAGCCCTTGTTAGGCTTTGAGGGATATTACATGGGCACATACAGGCATGTTATGCACAGACAAATACATGCAGGCATGTCAACCCAAACCGGTGACCCCAGAGACATGCCAGTGTACACATCCCAATACACGTACAGCCGCATCACGGGCCAGGCGAGAGCAGGAGTGGTTTTCTAACACTGCTCAGCTTGCCCACAGTGTGCACTAATGCATGTTCCCTACAGGAACCCACCACAGGACCCCTGGGGTCCCTGAGAGAGAACGGCAGTACAGTCCAGTTCTCCTGGGGGCAGGGAGAAGCACTCTGCAGCCTCCCCAGCACCGAGAGTCTTCTGAAACCGACTCCCACAGACACTGGGGCCCTCTGGAACTGGTTGAAGAGAAAGGAGACAGAGTATGAGGCACTGGGCGATGGCTGAGATGGGAGCAAAGGAAAACCTACTTGGGAAACAGGGACAGGCCCTTGGCAGAAGGCCACGGCTGCTGGCTGTCCCGGGGGGGGGGGGCAGACTGGGGGTAGAGAGGGCACAGCCAGTTGCGTACGAGGATTCTCCCCTCCCACTCATCATGTCCTCAGCTTAAATGTCACCTCCTCTGAGAGGCCTTCCCAGACCACCTGGGTTACACATGACTCTCAGACTGGTCACTAGGGGGATTTAGATTCTAATCATGATCTGTCTTCCTTCCTGCATCTGCCTGGGAGTCTGCCGTCCATTGACCTCCCAACAACAAACCAGGTACCGCTCAATGGACAGTGGCCTGGAATGAGGCACCAGGCCTTGGGCAGAGACTCACCCGGGAGCAGTGGCGAGTGACTGCGAGTACCTCATCGTCTGTCAGCAGCCGCCGGGCCAGGTCCTGAATGAGGGGCCGTCGACTTTCCCAGGCCTGCACCTGCTCATCCACATTGGGCAGCTGGCCAGAGGGGCTTCCAGACCTGGCAGAGAGCAGGGCCTGGCCCTTCTCCCGGTCTGTAGGGCAGGGGCAAGAGGGCGTGATGGAGGTGATGAGAACTGTTAGCGTAAGGTAGAGTTTCTCTTGGCAGGGGTGAGACTCCAAACAGCTCAGTCTGAGAGACTGAGGTACCCTGGACAGAGCCCCACTGTGCCCCTGCTCCCCAACATGGCCTTTCCTGTCATCAACAGAGGCAAGCTCCAGCTCCTCCTTCATTGTTGTACTAACCAGTCTACCCACTGAAGTACAGACAAGCTTCCTCACCCCAAGTTCCTTTGGGGGTCCCGTCTCTGCCCCCTATCTTTTCTAGTAAGCCAGCCAAGTTCTCTGCCTGAGTCCACAGGCTCAGCTTGAAATGAGTTTAGTTCCATGCCGACAAGCTGGTCCTAGCTTGTACCCCCATCTGTTGCTTTACCGTGGGGACCTTGGGATACTGGATTTACCACGTCTCAGCCTCCAGGTGACAAATTTCTGCACAGGCCCCACGCTCCCTGTTGTAAAGAAGAAAGGTTCAGATCAGCTGGAGCGGGAGTCCCTGTGAGAAGCAGTCAGGGCGGGGGACAAGTGCCTGTGTGGGCCTTCAAGGCCGTGCCCAGCTAGGGACTTTGTTCCTAGGCATTGAGAAGTCAGTGAAGGCTGTGGACCAGAAGAGAAGGCTGCATGAGGCTTACAGAGAGTTATTTGGAAAGGAAGGAAGGAAAGGACCCCAAGGACAGAGCTTGGTGGTACATACGGTCCAGACAGAGAGGGGAGGAGGAGCCTTGGAAACAGAGAGAGGATGCACAGAGCTTGGTGGTACCTACGGTCCAGATAGAGAGGGGAGAAGGAGCCTTGGAAACAGAGAGAGGATGCACAGAGCTTGGTGGTACCTACGGTCCAGACAGAGAGGGGAGGAGGAGCCTTGGAAACAGAGAGGGTAGCCGGAGAGGTGGGCTGAGAACCGTGAGAAAACAACCTCGGAACTGTGAGAAGACAAAACGGCGAAGGAAGGAGCTGGCTGGACCTTGATTTGGAGAAGTGTCCCCTCTGCTAGACTGTCACTCTGAGGCCTCCACACAATCCTAAGGTGGAGCAACATCCAACTTCTTGTCCTGGGCTTGCGTCTGCTCCCAATGTTGGCTCCCCCTTCTGGAAGCAGCACCCTGCTTATCTCCTGGGTGACCCCCTCCAATCTCAGCCCATGAATTCTGGCTGGGCACATGGCCCGGGGTGAGCAGAAAGATCACCCATCTGCCAGGTCTGGGAGCTCCTGTCCTGTGTCCCCCCGCCCCTGGTCCCCTCACATCACAGGTGGTTTGCTCAGCATGACAGATGATCCCAGGAGGCAGTGAGAGCCCTGACTGACCCCTTCAGCTGGAACTGTTTAAAAATCTCCCTGTCGGCCAGGTGTGGTAGTACAAGACAGGCAGATATCTGACAGTTTGAGGCCGCCCTAGGCTACAAAATGAGACCGTGTCTCAAAAAAAAAAAAAAAAAAAAAGCCCACATCTTTAATACCAGCATTTGGGAGGCAGATCTCTGTGAGTTTGAGGGCAGCCTGGTTTACACAGTGAATTCCAAGACAGCTAGGGCTGTTACACAGAGAAACTCTGTCTCAAAAAAAACAATAATAGCTGGGCGGTGGTGGCGCACGCCTTTAATCCCAGCACTCGGGAGGCAGAGGCAGGCGGATCTCTGTGAGTTCGAGGCCAGGCTGGACCGACAGCCTCCAAAACAATACAGAGAAACCTTGTCTTGTAAAACCAAAAAAAAACCCCAATAATAATAATAATAATAAATATAATAATAAACAAGCCCAAACAACAAAAATCCCCAAGGGTTGCTAAGGGACAGTGACCATCTCACTTTCAAGCTGACAAAACCTTCTAAGGTGGAGGCACATGCCTGAGGGAGTTGTGTCTGTTGGTATTATTCCTTCAGTTGTGCTAAAGTCAGTAGCTGAGCCTAGAGGCACGCTTTAAAGCTAGCTGGATTTGGGTTTCTGTCTATGAAGCTGTGAGTTTTATCTCATCCATGTTGGGTCTGGTCTCTGAGCCTCAACAGGGTTGACAGGCTTCTCGTGAAGCTTCTTAGGAAAACTCTACCTGGGGCTGTGGCTGGAACCCAGGGAGAGAGTGCTTGCCTAGCATGCCTGGGGCCCAAAGCTTCAACCACCATGACTAATGGGGTGGGGACGGTGTCTCCGCCTGAGTCCCTTCTGAGCTGTGATTGAGAAATGGCTTTCCTCAGGGGTAGTTCTAGAACTGGGTTGGGCCTTTGGAGCTCTGGATGGAGGGTGTGTAGCCAGGGGCCATAGCAAAAGTGCCTTCCATTGCCACCACAAGCACACGACTCAAAACTGACTCCCTGCTGTGTCTTGAGTCTGTCACTGTACCTTCCAGAAAAGACAGGAGATGGCAGAATGACGGTGGCCACCCCATTTTCAGAGCACCTTCTAGGAGCTAGACAAAGTGCTGACGTATATTCACTCATTCTGATTTTCTACAAGCCCAAAGAAACGAGTTTTAGTCCTTCCATTTCCCTTGTGAGGGTGAGTGGCGGCGTAGGGTAGGGTTTCAATCTGGAATTGCCAGGTAGATTCCAGCACCTACCTCTCTCCAGGTCCAGGCGAGGGCGGACTTTGGTGGGGCTTCTGCTGTCCAGTGTCCAGGCCTCTCTATGCCCGTCCCCTGCAGGCCGCCCCTGCCGCCCTCCCTTGAAGAAGAGGTTCATCAGTGTCTTGGAGCGCTGCAAGGCCCCCTTCTCCCCCGGGGTCCCTGACTTCTCCTTCTTCCGCTGTTTCTTCTCCTCTGTAGATATGAGGGAGCCCCCGGGGGGCTGGATGGTGGGCAGGAGAGAAGCAGGGCGCAGGGCAACAGGTAGGAGGGCAGAGAGAGGGAGAGGAGGCAGCCGGCATCTGCAGCCGGTCCAGAGTGGGAGTGGTCCTCTTCCTGCCTCCCACCTCGCCCCTACCACACAGGGATGTAGGGAATCTGGTGTGTATCTGTAACTAAACAGGTCTGGGCATCTCAGAAATTGGAGTTAGGGCTGGTTTAGGGCCCAGAGCTTATCAGTTGGGTGGCTGGAACTGAGGGTGGGTTTGGACCCCAGGCCTGTTTATAAAGTGAAGCCTAGAGTAGGACCTGAGGATATTTTGGGACTGGACCCGGGGCCTGGCCTAGGCTCTGGGATTTAGGCAAAGGCAGCTTTGGGATTGCTCCTTGGTGTGTGAGTCAGGCTTAGCTTGGAATAGGGGCTATGGCAAAAGTGGCACCGTCCCAACATACCCCACAGTGTCAGGTGGCTCTGAGATCGTGTGATGGGAGGCCTGGGTCGGCTCAGGGCCAGCAGCAGAGCGGTCTTGGGTGACTCTGAAAGAGCAGAATCAAGGCGTCGGGTAGAAGAGGGGCCATCAGAGCGGATGGCCGTGTCCCTGAGGATGACGGTTGGCCTTACGCTGCACCAAGTCTCCACACGGCTGTCCATGTCAGGCTCGGTCTGCATGGCTGTGTCTGCTCGTCCCCAGCCTGGGCCACGGCCACTGGGCTCCTCAGGCCCCAGGCAGACATCCATGCGGTCAGAGGGCAGTGAGCCTGAGCTACAGGGGACACTGGAGGCGTAGGAGGAGACACTGGAGCCGCTCTCCGAGGCTGGGGACAGCTGCTGCAGTGTTCCATTGCTCACTACAAGGGAGGGGAAGTGAGGTAGCTCAGGCGTCTGCTTTCTTCCCTGGGGGCCCTGCCATGCTCACACTACCCTTGGGCTTTAGGGTGGGTCAGAGGTGCCAGCTGCTCAGACTGCCGCCGACATCAGGGATCCCTAGGAAGTCACTTCCTTCATCACCCATGGGACTTGAGGCCAAGAAGACCCTGGCATTGAGTCTGGAAATCCTCAGTGAAGGCTATAAACAGCTCTGGACTGCAAGAAGGTCCTGAGAGCATCCTGGTCCTCCCCATCCCCAAGGAGCCCAGCCCCATCACTGGGCTCCTCCCTTCCATCTCTGGGGACTTACATCTATCCAGCCAGCAGTACTCTGAGACCATCTCTTTGTAGGCAGGGTACCGGCCGGTCTCCTGGAGAACACATGGCAGGCATTGGAGGAGCAGGTGAGAAGTCAGGAGGAATGGGGTGTGGATGAGAGTGAACGCTCCTCCCACTGGGTCCATCCGGCTTGCTTTCTAAACATGCTAATTCCTCTGTAGCTCAGGCTTTTAGTCTTCTTCATTTTTCTCCGCCCTGTGCTAATCACATGACCAGCTTCCTTCTTTTTGTTGTTGTTGTTTTAGCTTCGTTCTTTTTGTTGTTGTTTTTCGAGGCAGGGTTTCTCTGTATTGTTTTGGAGGCTGTCCTGGAACTCACTCTGAAAACCAGGCTGGCCTCGAACTCACAGAGATCCGCCTGCCTCTGCCTCCCGAGAGCTGGGAGGCACCACCAACGCCTAGTTTAGCTTCCTTCTTTGGCTGACTCTGCCTCAGTGACTCTCCTCTTGTCTTGATTACAAACCCCTTTCTCAACTGCCCCACTCCTTCTGCTAATTTCCTGACAGCACTTGTCAAAATCTGATGGTCACTGTCCCCCAGGAGCAGAAGCCTTGTTGTCTACTCTGATCTCTGTGCAGCCCAGCACCTGACCTCACAGGTGCTCAAAAATACTGTTGAGGGGCTGGAGAGATGGCTCAGTGGTTAAGAGCACTGGCTGTTCTCCCAGAGGTCCTGAGTTCAATTCCCTACACCCACATGGTAGCTCACAACCATCTATAGCGGGATCTGGTGCCCTTTTCTGGGATAAAGGCCTACATGCAGATAGAGCACTCATGTTCATGCAATAAATAAATCTTGAAAAAAATACAGTTGAGCAGCTAGGTAGGGTGGTTCATGCCTGGGATTCCAGTGCTTGGGACCCTGAGAAAGTAGGGTCTAGAGTTTGAGGTCAGCTGTGGCTACATAGGAAAACCTAGCTGGGGCTATATAGTGAGATTCTCCAAAAACAATAACAACAGAACACACGCATACACAGGCAGAGTTAACAAATGAATTGGGGAAGATCTGGAGTTAGGAAGAGTGCCCCAGATAATTGGAAAAGGGAAGATGTGTGTGGGGAGACGGCAAACTAGAGGTGGGGTTGGTCAGTGATGCACTGAATGAGACTGGGGGACGAGCCAGGGAAAGAGGGGGTACAGTAGGGAGCCTGGTGAACCCCGGGGAAGGCTGGGTCACCACTCCCGTGCACACAGATAGAGAAAGGCCTTAAGTAAGCATGTTAGGCAAGTGAATAATGAAACCAACCACCTCCTAGGATCCCCCAGTCTGCTGTAGTCCAGTCTCTTTTGCCCTGTGGCCCAGGGATCCCCACAACCCACGTCTTTTTTTTGGTTTTTCGAGACAGGGTTTCTCTGTGGCTTTGGAGGCTGTCCTGGAACTCACTTTGTAGACCAGGCTGGCCTCGAACTCACAGAGATCCGCCTGCCTCTGCCTCCCGAGTGCTGGGATTAAAGGCGTGCGCCACCACCGCCCGGCTCACAACCCATGTCTTGTACACACCTATAGCTCCTGCTCCACACATTAGGCCTTACCTTGAGGCCTTCCCCCATGCTGAAGGACAGCTACTGTGCTAGAAATATGGGGAGCCAGACCAGAGCCAGGTCCGGCTACTGACCGTCTGAGCAACAACTGACTATTGCCCCTTTGAGCCTCAGTTCCCTCTCTTGCCACACGGGCATGAAAGGAGCTTCTGCTCTCTCTTCTCCGGGGCTGTGGAATTGGCCCTGGTGGCAGGGCAGGGAGTCTAATTAAGGACTAGGGTGTTTTGAGAAGTTCCAGCCATAGTCTGACCCTCCCTGCTCCCATGTCATCGGGCCCACCTTGATGGTCAGCATTATGTGCGTTTGGCCCTTCAGCACTTCCACAGCCTGGCTGTGGCTGATGTCATCGAACCTGACACCGTTGGCCGCCAGGACCTGGTCCCCCACTTTGATGCCGTTCTCCTCAGCCAGCCCGCCATGATCCACTCTGGGGATAGACAGGTGTTGCTTGAGAAGACCCCGGCCTGACTCCCTCCCCCCAGTCCAGACCCCTTTCACTTGGCTATAGGAATGCCCACCTACATCCCTTGGGTCGCCTATGATTGACAACGCCCTTCACCGGGGCCTGTCCGGAAGGGGCCCTCATTTCGACATTGGTTGGCTGAGTCTCATGTGTTGACTTCACCCCAAACTCTGCCCCAGCGCTGCCCCAGCCCCATGCCCAGTCCTTCCATTTTACCCCAGCACTCACTTAGACACGTAGATGCCCAGGCCGAACTCCTTGCCCCCACGGATGTTGAAGCCGAGGCAGAAGTCATCAGAGGTTGTATAGAGATGGACAATGCGCCGCACACCGTCGTCTGAGCCGCTGTCCCATGGTGCTGGGCTGCACTTTTCTACCACTAGCCTCCGGTTCACCACATCCACCCTGCCGCAACGTTAGAGGCCCTGACCCCAGGTCCTCCAGGAGTACCCGGTCTAACAGCCTTGGCAGCTGAGTGGGGAAGGGGTGACTCCCTTGGGGTGACAGTGGGGGAGGGGTTCTCCGGGCCCAGAATCTTCACTGCAATATAGGTTTCATTAAAACTATGAAAAACTCTGAATCACCCCCCCACCTATCTCTGCTAAGTAGCTGCAACATTTGGAGGTCCATTTCCCTCTTCTGTTTGGTTTTTGATGCTGTGGATGGACCCCCACAGCCTGCTGGACTATGCTAAGCATCTAATCTACCATGATCTCTGTCCCCCAAAACCCAGAGCCCCATTTCTGCTCCTTACGAGTCCCCATGGGGTGCAGGGTTCAGTACCAGAGAGCAGAGCCAGTGGGCAGGGCAGGGGAGACATGGGGCAGGGGTCTAAGCAAGGTGGGGTGCTCCTTACCAGGTGGTCTTCTCCTTGGAGAACTTGATGCCAGGCACACGGCCCATGCGCCGCACCATCATGTGCAGGCAGCTGCTGCCGGTCAGCAGCCTCACAGCACTGCCCATTGTGGTACTCTCTAGACTCAGCCCATTCACTTCCGTGATCTTGTCCCCCACACACAGGCCAGCCCGCTCTGCGCAGGAGCGGGGAAGGGCGAGTCCTCAGACTGGGCTCCACACGCCCGCTGACACTAGGCTGTGTCCCCTAATCCACACAAGAGTGAGCTCTATCTCCCGTCAGTTCCCACCCTCTGAGGAGAAGTGGTTCCTGTCCTTGGCCACCTAGATTTTGCTGCCCCCTGGAGAGGGGCCACATCCCAAGCTGTGCTCCCCCTGAGGGGCCCCTGCTTACCTGCACTGCTCCCCTCCTCCACCTTGCTGACGAAGATGCCCAGGCCATGCTCAGAGCCACCTCTCACGCTGAAACCCAGCCTCCCAGAGGAGCTCTTCTCCACCCGAACTGCATGGATGACGTCACTTTCATCACTGTTGGCTGTGAGGACAACCACACAGGTATGACCTCCATGTTAATTCTGGCATCTAAGCATCTGGGGTCCCCAACTCGGTGTCTGCAAAGGCTAGGCTTCTGTGTAGAACCACCCAGATGATACATAGGGCCCTAAATGGAGATGGTATTCAAGTCCCCTCTAGATAATTCAGAGACCACAGACCACTCATTGGCAGTATGGGAACAGGTGAGAACAGCTTGTTCTCTCTCTCTCTCTCTCTCTCTCTCTCTCTCTCTCTCTCTCTCTCTCTCTCTCTCTCTCTCTCTCTCTCTCTCTCTCTCTCTCTCTGTGTGTGTGTGTGTGTGTGTGTGTGTGTGTGTGTGAGAGAGAGAGAGAGAGAGAGAGAGAGAAGAGAGAGAGAGAGAGAGAGATGTCTTCTGGATTCTTATGTCCAATCTCTGAAAATTTGCCTTCTGAGAACAAGGTGGTTAGGTAGAGAGGAAGGTCCAAGATTCCATTGTGGAGAGTATGGGCTCAGCTTGCAACAGAATGAACTCCAACTTCAATCAGCTGTGGAGCTGTTCATAGAAGTCATTATATGCTCGATGTAACTTAGG